AATTTTAATTCTGTCATAAAAGATTGCCCAAAACTGAAATAAACTTTCTGATTGACATCAATGTTGGCATTCCCAGGAATGGAACTATTCAAGTACTTGTGAAAAGTAAATAAGAGAAACCATGGTCATTCTTTTTCTAATTTTCAGATCATGAAATCAAGTTTTATTTTGTTGTACAGCGACAAGGCTTCTCAAGTTTACAAATCACAAAATACTTCAACAGCTCCAGAAGAAAGCATGCAAACTTCAACAGCTCCAGAAGAAAGCATGCAAACTTCGATGTTAAATAGAAATTTCACACCTGTTGCACAAGATCTTTTACTTCGGCAGGAAACAATTGCGCCATGCGTGCTGTGCAACACTCACGAAGGAAAACGAGTAAACTATACATCAAGTCAAAGCATGAATGAAATACTAGACAGGTTGCACGAAGCCAGGATAGCGTTATCCATTGGAAAGTAAAATTTTCAAACTTGTAAAAAAAGGTGTTTGTATTTTTCTTACGACAAAGAAATTTTGTAATCTTATAAGCAATGTTTTGATTCAATGATTGCTAGAAGTCAAATCGTATATTTTTCCATTTTGAGAGATTTTTTAAACGTTCGAAAAATTCACCATCCAATGGATAACGAAAATCATACCTTCGTGCAACAGGCGTGAAATTTCGCGAAATTGTGGGATGCTACCAATTTTCCCATCAGATGCAAACAATATTCGGTACTATTTGAAGTATGCCAAATGATAAAATATGGCAGTGTCAGCAAAAATAAATTTATTATTTTTTGCAATGCGTCATTAACTTCATGTAGCACATACATTGATTGAATGTCCTGTCCCGTGAAGCTACTCTACATCTTCTGGTCTCACAGGATGTTTCAACGGGATTATGGACTTTTTTTCATGATCTCGAGATAATGCTTTCTCATGTCTATAATGACATAAAAATTTTAGTCTGTAATATGACAATTATTAAGCAATGCATGCAAGAACTTTCCACTCTTACCAAAGGCATCTTCATCTGGATCACCGAATAATAACCCAGCACCCTTCGGTAGATGGAATAGCCAAGACGCTTGTACATATTCACAGCAACATCATTGGAAACACGTACAAAGAGATCAACAAAGAAACAATTTTTCCTTCAATAGAAAAGTGAATTTCATCGACATCAAAAAAATTCAAAAAATCATTCATCGAGTCTTATCTTGCTTACCTCTCCGAGATATCCTCAAGACCTGTCATCAGAGTCCGAGCAATTCCTAACTTCCTGAATTCTGGAGCCACAGTCACTGCGGTCACATGTCCATGCCACTGTTCTCGTTCAACACTGCCCTCAGCCTTCCCCATTACTAAAACATATACATCATGAGGAACACTTCTCCATTGATAATACCCTTTCTTAGTATGATCGTAAAGTTAGGGCTGCCCTCTCCTTTCTCCTCAAAACTTAAATCCCCCTCCTAATATCATACATGTCTACATGGTATATAGTGCTGTCCAAATACAACGAGAGATTTAGAAGTTTTCTACGGATAGCTTTAGAACTTGATAACCTAAATCATACAAGAACCACAAAATTAATGTCCTTTGGCCCATTAGGTAACTAATAACCAGGACAAGCAGACAATTTTAAGTAAAACAAAACAAAACAAATTCCGAAAACAGACATCTCGTTTTCTTGATATTCAAGATCATACAAGAGTTTTAAAACAAAAGATGGTGTAATATTTCGTCTTTTCTCCAAAGACATCATCAGACTAATAGTTTACAATGCAGGCTGTGAAACTTTTATATAATTGGTAACTAATATGTCAGAGGGGAGGGCGACAGGTTCTTTCAGAAATATTCTATAAGTGCATTAGTGTAAGCACATATACTCACTATAACCCATTATTTGTCCATCTGGAGATTCTGCAACTTGAAAATATTCAGGCCATCGCGATAAATATTGCAAATAGAACTGAATGCCATACTTTGCACGAAAGAAGTCAAGGAGAGCTGGACAACATTAACATAAACAGCCACTGAGAATGATGCAGCTACAAACATTTACAAAAACGGCCCCTATGATGACTAGTTTCCCTTCAAATATGGTTAATAATACACAGAATGGCAATAAACGAGACTGTTAGCTTGCCACCATCAGCCTATTCTACTGTGAATATCATTTATGATTTAAGATACAGTTTCGGTAAGAGGATCCAAGTTGCTAAAAACGTAAAGTCAAATATAATAATCAAAATTCAAAGCAGATGCACATCGTTCACGCACAATTCAATCTTACTTTTAGACTTATTACACTTACACATTTGCAAAATGAAATAGATCGTCACACTTGAATGGACGAATAGTCACCATTCTTTAGATCAAAAGACTTGAAGAAAATAACAGGATTTCACTCGAAAGATAAATGAATGTTTCTTTGTAGGTTTGACAGAGTTGACGAAGAAGAAATCCTGAAATTTCTCAACAAAAAATATCATCTCATTTCATAATTCTTCTACCAATCCACCATATTGGATTTTATATGAATAGTCAGGGGGCTCAATAGGATAAAGTGTACTGGTTGGGATAAGAAAGGAAACACGGTGTAGTAATCCCGTAAAATCTCCAAGCGTTCCAAGCTAATAACTGACAGGATAATTTCAGCCAATAAAAATAGCGCATTTGCCAAAAATTCAGGATGGTGGATATGAAAGAATGAATTGAAGTCAATGGAAGTTAGAAAAGAAATGTAAATTTTTGAAAAGAAAAATCGTTAGGAAACAAAAGATTTTGAAGTGCCCAAAGCGTTGGGGGTTTGCAGTGACCGAGGGAGGAAAATTCGGTTAAAAATAACCATTGGAAACGAAGATGTCGGAAGCACGATAAAGGAAGAAATCTTAAAAAAAGAGATAAAAGAGGATGTAGGAACTTTGTAATGTAACTTGTTTAAATTATTTAACAATATGAGTAAGACTTTTACACTTAACCACCAATAATATAACTTTAAACAATCGCACTTTATAAACACATATTTACAACTTTATTCGACATTTTCCTCGTTTTTCCTGTTCATCTCCCATTCGGTTTGTAATTCAGATGAAACTTCCGTGAAGAGTCGGTCCCAGTCCCACGCTCTGTCTTCCTAGAAATGAGAATGCGAGATAATGACGTGATGGAAACAAGCGCAGAAACGAGAAATGTAGAAATGACGTGTTTGGGTCACGTGATTTTAATTGATTCTTCATGCCTCAAGCCAGCCTGCAAGGTCTGTCATGCTGTGCATATTTAATATCGTGAGCATTATTGCCGATGAACACCGAAATGTTTAAACAGCAAGATCAAACTTGCGGGAATGGCTAACGCGCTGCTTTAGCCATGACTAAAATGACTTACTTCTAAAACTGTTGATTCGGGAGCGAGAACTTTTCCCAATAACTTCAGGTCGATTTCATTATCCTAGATAAAAAGTAACGGAGTAAGAAATTATGGGACAATGACAAACACAAGATTGTGGAACTTTAACTCGTCAAGATTTCCTTCAAAAAGCTGTTTAGCCTGATTAGTAATTTGCAAAATTTGAGGACTTGACGTCGAGCATGAATACAAAACGACCCCCAGGTATTCCTCAATTTCAGAAGAGAATAATCTCTGTTGCGCGACAGTAAATATTTTTGAATAGGCTGAGCTATAGTTCTCATATTGTAATTCAAAATCTATGAAGAAAAAACAGGGCTTGTATTTCTAACGAATAACATGCTTTTGCAGGTGCTCATCCATAGTCAACTGGACCAATTATAGATCATCTGAAAACTTCCAGAATATGGTGAATTGAACTGAATATATACTGGACGGCTAGCTCCGGGAGAAATTGAAATGAGGAATACGCCTAGTGAGATTCTTCCAAGGTACCGCCGAAAGAAAACTAGCTGCGTCAGTTAATATTTCGCTTCGTCGAAGTACAAACAAATGTACCTTAATAAAGTGAATGGTTTGCACCCGAGAGTATCGTTATATGTTTTTAGATGTAAATAGTCCTGGTTCGATGACTATCGCTAAGGTTGTCTAAACGTCTTTCAACGTCAACACCAACAGTCCTTCTCATGACACTACTGGCCTGGACGATCTACATCTACAAACATCTAAATTTGATAGACTTTCTACTACGTAATCAGTTTGATGCTATGTAGCGGCGCTATTCACTGTAACAACATGTTTTAGCAAATGAAAACTTGCAGAAATAGCCCTTAAGTGCAGTTTACACTGTACTGGCATGTCCTACATTGTCTACAAGAATCAAAATTTCATCCTTGGTCAAAATGTTTGATGTCAGAAGTCACATGCCAGTAGATTTGCCCGCGCCCTGCAATATAATGTGTTTGAGGTGTATGGTAAATTTTCTGAAGGAGATCTTCTTTTCCCACCTACCAAGGTCATGAGGTATGAATGCTTTTGAAGATCACTGTCAAGTTCTTTATATGTTGCCACACGATTTACTTGACGCTACAAGAGAAAGAAAATTTGACATAGACATTGTCACAACGTAATTTCCTGTTTGTTTGCCTATCTAGGGCACAATCATCAGTTGACAAACACGGAAAACCTTGGTGGGGCAGCAATTTTACTGGCTAGATCTTCCTCTTGGAAGTCATCAAGATCAGGTAAGACTGGAATTTCTGAAAAGAAATGTCATTAGTTCAACACAATAAAATAACTGTATGCATACTGTTTTAACCACAAGGGCATCAAAAACAGGGGGGTTAGCTCTATTTTTGCAAGAAAGGCAAACCCCCCCCCCCTGTTAAATGTAACGACACATCCATTTTAAGCAAACAAAATATTGTAGTATGTATGACACATATGTGAACCCCTGCAATGCCGACCCTCTCTTGTCTTGAAATCATTCTTCATAATCAACAAATTGGCATTACCATCAATTCCTTCATCAACATGGTGATCAGTTTTTAGTCGCTCGCTGAAACAAGACATAACATCAACACAAATTTATTACTTTTTCAACCACCTAACTACATCAACAACTTACTCATCCATACTCGTAACATCGGTGTTGCTGGATTTCTTTCTTACAGCACTACAACGATAAAACAATTTGAATGTAAAACAATCATTAAAACAATCATTTTGCCTACATACTCGGCAAAAAATTGAAAAGGCATAAAGTAAAGTTTCCCACAAAGGTATACATTGAGAAATAAATGTAGTTCAATACTTTTTTCGTTTATCTTTGGGACTCATACTAGCCCATCCACCTTTCATTGTGACAGAAGGTCTCTCGCCAATCTAAATAACACCAGTTGTTCAGTAGTGACTTGAATGGTAGAGAACGGTCAATGATTCGTTCATTGGGCTTTCAACCTGTCCTGAAATAGTACCGACGGAAACGTCTTCTGGCGTTTGCTCATTCAAGCTGTTGTCTTTGCCATCTAGCTCGCTATCTGTCCGTATATTTGCAGCTCGTCTTCCCTTCTTTGCCGTCTGTTGATGAAAAATATTTCGCATGGACATTTAGTGTTTTACCTAACATTGCGCCTTTCGATTGTGAAAATGAAATAGATCAGCATGGCGATCGCTTACGTACCCGTGCAGTGGAAAATTCGTCCATTCCAAGAGATTTTTATCACAAAAATAACAGGAATTTCAAATCATTTTCGAAATTATCAATGCCAAGACAACACAACAGAAGTAATAACAAACAAGATGGACGTCATACTGGATTCCATCACCGAAATGGACAATTTTTATTTGACATTGTGAATTGAAATCCCTTCATCCTTTACACAAAATTAAGACTTATTACAGTGAAAATTATCGCTCATCGTCACTTATTGGATACAAAGTCGTTATAGACTCGTAATCGTGGTTTCGAATTTGATCTATGTCAGCTTCGGGGAACGTTAGATAGGAAAACCACGAGTCAGACTCCCCCGAGTTGTCATTATTGTTGGAACCTTTCTTCTTTCTTTTCATTTTCACTCTACAATCAAAAAGTAGAATTTTATGACTTCAAAAAAGAAGGGTAGATCAAGCATTGAAAAAACTTATCATTTTTAGCATTACCCAATCAGACATATGATTATAATGATCATCGCCAGGATCAAAATGATCAAGACGCACACAGCGACGATGTACATAATGATAGGTGTGTCTTCAAGCTTTGACTCTTCTGCTAAACAAAAAAATAATGAAAAACATGCAGCGAAAGACAGATTTATAATCTAAAAGGCAAATGAAATATAGGAAAGACAGCCTAGAATCTAGTCTACCTTCACAAAGTCCGTTATTTGTTAATTTAAAGCCCTCCTTACAACGACAAACGTAGTTTCCCAAAGACTCTCCTTCAAAGCACTCCTCTGTCTCACGATCACACGGGTTGGACAGGCCGCTGCACATTTCTGTTTATCATTAGAGAATCGTTTAGGTTTGAAGATTGTATAAATTGTTCTTTTCTTACCTATTCTGATTATTTAAGCTAGTCCGTATTGGAAACGATCTTACAAACTTCAACGTTGATAAGATCAAAACGGTTATGTGGTTGAGAGATTTCAGTTATTGAAAATTGTTGTTGGTATTGGTGTTGCGTAATATTGCCTGACGTTTCGACAATCTTAGCGGAAGACACAGTTAGCGACAGTCATCTTGACTCTGAAGATGACTATCGCCAATGCCTAAGGTTGTCAAAACGTTAGTCTACATCAAAATCAGCAGTCTTTCTCATGACTCTACCAACCTTGACGATCTACACTGATTTTAAACAGCTATCGATCATCCAAGCTTAGTTCACTTTAAGGTAAATGGTTTGAACCCGGGAGCATCGTTACATGTTTGTCAATGTAGATTGTCCAGGTTGGTATAAAAAAATTTTTTTGACTCTGAAGATAAGGCTAAGGTTACTACCGCTAAGGTTGTCGAAACGTCAGTCAACAACAACAAAACAGTCCTTCTCGGGATTATACCAACCTGGGCGATCTACATTTACAAACTTAGTTCACTTTAATAGTAGCTATAGCCTTACACTTTAAGATCTTACGCTAACAGAGTTTGTTCCTCTCCACAAAATGATCCCGAAATAAACCATCTACAAACTTCGGATTTCCGGATCCAAGATTTGCAGTTTCGGAAAATGGAGTGAGAAATCCATTGCAAAACGCAGTAAATTATGAACGCAAAACATGCTCCTTCTAGAACCACCTAAAATTTGGGGTTTCATAAAGTCAACTGACCTTTTTTCACACAATGTTCAGTGTCGTCTTTAACATATCCAGCTTTGCAAGTACAGTTGTAGCCACCTTCAGTGTTATTACAAACGGTGAGACGAGGACATGTTGCTGTACCTTCACTACACTCGTCTATGTCTAAAGAAAACATGGAATCGAGAGGCGTGTTGCAATTTCTCAAACTTCATCGAAGTACTTTAGCTTGTGTGAAGACTCTATCACAATAATAAGATTACGTTCATATTGTGGTATTCATTCGACAGTATGGATGATTCTTAAAACCGCAAATTTTGCATTATGTAAGAGATATCAAACTAGAACCCACAACGCTTCATTACCAGAACAGCTCTTTCCGTTTCCCGTAAAACCAGGTCTGCAAGAACAGCTATAACTTCTCGGTAGGTCACGACAGTCCGCATGCTGATGACATTCGTGAAGCTGAAGTTTGCATTCGTCTCTATTTGGTACTAAAGTGAAGAAGGAATATTTGAAATGAACCGTTGTGGTTAACTGGAACTTAACAGTTAACACAGCACTCAGTTCAATGTCAATCGATTCAGGTCCTCACCTCCATTAGGACAAACGTCGCTAACATTCAGTTTATAAATACGTTTTCTATGCAATCTTGCAGGCTTATCGCATCTCATATCTTTGAGATACCCTACTTTCTCTTTTACTTTAGTATAGTTTAAACGAACTTCGGTAATGAACCAATGCATTTTGCAGTTGCAGTTGTAAGGATTAGTCGAAAGAACACTGAAAAAAATATACAATTGAAATAAAATCGTATGTTCACTTCATTCATTCCTGGCATAACAGCCACGTTTTCACTTTGATATTGTTCAAACCCATGTTGAAGACTCCTAAATCGCCTAGGAAATCTGAAAAGATAGCTTAAAATTTGACTACAAACTTACAATAGATTTTCGTTGGGTGGTTCGAACAGATCATACGGAATACTAGTGAGGCCTCTGTTCTCGCAGGTCACTAGATTTGGTACTAGTTCCGTACATCTGTTACGCCAGCTGATCTTACCAGATAAGACTCCTGTTAAAATCAACACAATGCAATATCCTCTCAGTTTCCTTTGCACACTTCATTGTCGTGCACTTTCAATGAAAAGTATTCATATGATTGTATTCACCTGTTGCATGCAACGCGAAGAAAATTATAAGCCAAAAAACACATGACATTCCACAGAATTAGACGATCACATGAATGAAATCCTTTACTTGACGGTACGAAATGTTATTAAAAGCTTTATTGTGATACGCGCCTTGATTAGTTAATTAGAGATAATTAGAGGCAATTAAAATAGTTTTTACGTTGATTGTCACATCATCTGGACAAAACATGTGTAGTTTAAATACAACTTGGACTTTATTAATAAGTATAGCCCATCTGCCAATCTCAGCTTTACCAACTGTGAAATACTTTACTAAAATTTTTCGCTATTTATGCTAGTGTAATGAAATTCATCAGCAAAATGGAAATTGAGCATTGGCATTAATTTAAGTATTTATTAATTTCTTTGAACAAAATTGCACTTTCTTACAGTAAAAATTACTTCTCGTCGTCACTCTCTGACCAAACGCTCATCATCGAGTCATTGGTTGGTATGCTGTTTACATTAGTTTGAGGGAACATGAAGTGGGAAAGCCAGTTGAATCTTGATTTGACCTTACTCACTCTTGTCTGCTTTGTTTCTGTTTTTTCACTTCAAGACAAAAAAAAATAATTGAATTTTGAAAACGAATAGGCCCATTAAATGAATTACGCTTGATTTTAAGGAGGGAAAAAGACTAGTCTGTGGTAGGGAGTGCGCATGTATGCCCAAAGTTTTGTATGTGTCGTTGTTCTTGAAATTTGCGGGCAGCAGAAAGTCAGGAATCATTATAAAGCGATCAGAAAATCTTTATGGGAAATTCCCACATGTACACTGCGCACTCCAGCCTTCATTACCTGCACAGGTTGAATAAAATGATTGTACCCAGAAGTCCTGCGAACATCATGCAGGCTAAAATAATCATTGCTAAGGTGCTGGAATTCTCTGTAATATAAAAAGAGAAGAAATGAGTAGCTAAAGCCCTTTTTAATAAACCCAGTTGTAACATCGCTCTAACATCTTCAAAAAAATGTCCAATGCTCATTCTTGCAATAATTACAATGTCGTCAAAATCCGTGCTTCAAACAATTTGAGCAAAGATGGAGTAAACTGAAAAGACAGAAGAAAGTATCTACCTTGCTGCTCTTTAAGACAAAGTCTTCCATTCTTATAGTGAAGAAATCCTGCCTTGCACAGACAGGAGAAACTTCCTATGTTATTGATGCAAACTGCATCGCGATGACAGTTGTCCATTCCTGCTGCACACTCGTCAATGTCTACAACAAGAAAGAAAAAGATTCAGTCATATCAAAATTTCTCAGAGGCAAGGAGTGTAAATCGTTAGAACAGCAGGAGAAATGTTTTCACAAAAATGAGTAAATACGCTCAGAATTCAATGAAAGAGAATGCTTCATTGACTTACAGCGTACTTCAAATTATGTTACTGTTTGTTTAAGTGGACCGAAAAAGTTGTAAAGACAAAAGATAAAAGGTTAGTACGTATCCGAAGCACTCGTTGTTTTATTGCTGTACTCTAAGGCACCAAAAGTGATTCAATCTGTTCAACAGCTACAGTGTCGTCCGTTTAAGTTTTGAAAATTGTTCGTCTTTCAAGCTTGACGATTAAAACAAAAAAGAAGTGTTAAAAATCACACTGACCTTCGCAATGATTATTTTGCGTTTCGTATCCTTGAGGACAGATGCATTCATAAGATCCCTGTGTATTCTTGCATTCTGCCAGCGAGTCGCATGGATTATTGTTTGAAATGCATTCATCGATGTCTATTGAAGACAAGCACAAAAAGCTGTATGAATTTGGAGCTAAGTTATGGGAGAAGACCTAGAAGCAACAATTTGTAATTATACCTGTGCAAACTCCGTTGTCTGATCTTGTGAAACCTTTCTTACAGCGACAAACATACTTTCCCAAAGATTGTCCTTGTATGCAATCCTCCGTCACAAAATTACATAGGCCAGGTGAACTTCTGCATGTCTTTGCTGTAAAACATTTAGATATTGTTTAGATTTTTAACAAAGATGATGAAAGTGTTCAGACATCTATGAACTAGTATAGCTTAGATCCACTTTAAGAGCTTAGAATGACCACAATGTAATCGAGGTTCGAAAATTCCAGTAATAAAGCTCGATATACCATGGACAGAAAATGAAATGCAATATTTAAAAAAGGACATTTTGAATCTGAAATCTAACGGAAAGCTTAGATTTAAAAAAACTTAAATCCGCTTCAATGTGCTGATTCTCAATTCCTAAATCTGTCGAGCCCAGCTCCATTATGACAGCTAAAGAGATTCCAAGTTTTATAAAAACGAGGCTATCACTTTGGCTTGGCTGTGGGGAGGGTGGCATGAAATCTGAATAGTCCTACTTCTAGCTGTGGCAAAGTAACTTTTAAAAGCAAGCGTAGAAGAATCTATAAAAGACGCACCCGACCAATGAATTGATCTTAAAGTTGAATTTAATGGAGTTGATTGCATTCAATTAGGTTGTCTTTTTCTTAATACGGATTTTGAGGCAAATGAGCGTGACGAGCAAGTGTAAAAAGAAAGACGTGAAAGTGGAAATGAAAGTGGTGTTGAGGATTATTTAGATTTGCGGATTTGTTGTATTTTCTTCAAAGTAACGATGCAAACATTATGTTGTCCGAATTGGCATCTTAAATCATGGCTTCTGTCAATACAAAAAAAATCCTATCCAGGTTTCGTGCAACTGTTATCCAGTCAACTTTAAAGATCATGATTATCTTACGCTAGCTGGGAAATTTACATACGTTTTTTCGTACAGATATTGCCTTCGTCGTTTTTCACATAACCATTTTTACAAGTGCAAGTATAACTCCCTATGTTATTCTTACAAATAGCATGACGCGGACACGTCGCTGTGAATTCAGAACACTCGTCTATGTCTATAGAAAACATCAAATAGAAACGTCTTTTGCATATCTGCAAACTTTCAGGCACTTCTATCTAATTTAACTCGTTTATTCTTCGTTACATCTACCTGTACATAACCCTGAACCTCCTTCTTTATAACCTCTATCGCAGGGACAAGCGTACATTGCCAATATGTTCTCGCATTTTCTCAAATCATTCTGACATACATCATCTTCTTGACATTCATCGATATCTCAATAAATAGACAATTTAAGTTACTGTTAAGTTTGTACAACCAAAGAGGCATCTTCTAGTTAATAGTGTACCAAACTAGAGCCCATACTACATAAGTACCTGAGCAGTTCCATCCATCCCCAGTAAAACCTCTTCGACAAACACATCTATAGCCTACATATAGGTCGTGACAGTCTGCATGCTGATGACATTCATCAATTTGAAGTTTGCATTCGTTTGTACCTATTGCTAAAGTTATAAAAAAATCAAAAAGATTGAAATCGTTGCATTTGAAGTGTGAAAGATTTATTATAACAGTTTGTACTTTGCTCGGGGCAGACGTCAGCTTCCTTCAGTTTATAAATCAGTTTTCCGCGCATTTTTGCAGGTGCATGACATTTCATCTTTTTGAGGTCGATAATTTTCTGTGTGTAATCTTTCAATCGTAACTTTCTGATGAACCAATGCATTGAACAATTGCAAACGTATGGATTGTTGGCAAGCTTACTTGAAATCGATAAAGGAAATAAAAGATTTGATAAATGAAATGAAAAACGTGTCAGCATTCATATAATTCTGCTGTATCATGCCGAAAAGCCCGAAACCATGTTATATGAACTTTGTTTGAATTCAAACAAGTTTAAAGAACGATCATGAAGGATCTTAAAACGTCTCTCAATAAATGTTCAGCATATACGATCTTAAATAAAAAGTTTGACTGTTTTTAAAATTATATCAATTCTTTTCTCTTAATCTCAAAACTCCCGAAAATGACTAGGGCATAAGAGTTAGTAACATGAGGTATTAAGTTCGATTTAATACTTACAGCAATCTATAAGGTGATTGAAACACATCGTGGGGTACAAGAGGAAGATTTTTTTTGCTGCAACTCATCCATCGATAACGATTTCGTCTCACCAAACACTTACCAAAGCGCCAACTTATGGCATTTCCGGAATTCCCTTTTAAAAATCAACGAGTTTTACTTTTAGTTTCTTTGCTCGTTTCAGTGTCGTACATTTTCGATTAAAAATATTCTTTAATATAATATATACCTGATACTTGAAACACGAACGAAATTACGAGAAAGGAAACCCACGACATGTGATTATTTGAAATCATGATATAATAAAGTTCTTTAATCAGTTGAAGAACGACTTCATTTGAAACTTGTTTGTATTGCGTGATGTAATTGGTTGATTAAAGTAGAAATTGTGTTTCTTAGGAACGTGCAAGGGGTATTCGAATAAAATTGGTATATTACAAGTCTTTAACTGCTTTAGCTAACAGCATGATTTGAACAGAACATGAATACAGTGAAATTTGTACTAAGAGGACATTGCTTACTGTATGCCTTAAAATGAAATGAATTTCCAAACATTTGTGTTTTTGTTATAATTGATTGTGTAGATAATAGAAGAAAATCACGCTAAGTTTCATTTAAGAAAAAGACACGAAGCATCTGCGTTAAGATTATGTTTCCTTTGAACAAAATCACATCTTCTTACGGTCTAAAATACTTTTCATTATCCCCTTCCGATCAAATACGCACTTATGATTGAATCATTCATCGTTATGCTGTCCACATTAGCTTAAGAAAACATGAAGTTGGAAAACCAGTTGTATTTCAACCTGCCATTAACCCAATCTTTTTTTCCTTTCTTTTGTTCCTTCCCCTTCACGATAAAAATGTAAAGAATGTGTTGAAAGATTGATTTATCCAGGGATGGAGTTTGTATATTTTTTTTTTTGACGGGGAAAAGTCTAGTTTGGAGAAGAGGACGGTTGATTGATTAAACGCTCTTTTTTACGTGGAGTCGTGTCAAAAGTTTATTGGTGTCATGAACCAAGCACGATTGCAGTCAGCACGATGTAGAGATGAAAACTTACTAAACGGAAATTTACACATAAAACAGACCCCCCTCTCCCTTCATTACCTGCTCAATTTAATTAAAGTCAAGGAACCCAGGACTTCAAAGACTATCAGACACGCTAAGATTATTGTTGCAGTGAAAAGGAATTCGTCTTCTGTAAAATAATATGACAAAAAAATGTGAAAATTATTGGCTGGACTTTGGTTCTGCTAAACGTTTAAACAAACTCGACTACTTTCTTCCCATCCATTTACCTTTTTCCCCTTTCAGACAAAGTGTTCCATTCTCAAATTGCTGAAATCCTGCCTTGCATATACAGGTGTAGCTTCCTATGCTATTGATGCAAACTGCATCGCGGTGACAGTTGTCCAATTCTTCTGCACACTCGTCAATGTCTACAACAAGATACAAAAATATCCGGACATGTCGAAAGCTTTTCGAAGCAAGGAGTACAAACCATTTTGAAAAAGCGACATTTTTGACAAAAGGACACAAACAATGAAAACAACACAGGCCATAGAACAAAGACGTTCAGAATTCAACGAAGGAAAACGCTTCATTGATTTATGGTAAATTTCAAATCACGTTTCTATTCAACTGCAGAAGATACAAAAAGTTGTAAGGATGAAAAAAACCCAAGAAATAGGACTGCATCGAAAACATCCGTAGCATTACCATCTGAAGAAGGACCAAAAGTAATTCATACTGGTGAAGTGAAAGTGTGTCACTCATTCAATCTTTGAAAATAGGTTACATTTCAATCAAGTAAATAATACTGCATGAAGTTGCGGTGCGACAGAAAATGTAGTTTTTGTATATCATTAGACGTGGATAGCTTTGGAATCGAAGTGATAAACAAAAGTGGTGGATCGAGCATGTTAAGCCGACCTTCACAAGTATTTTCGTCTTTTCTATAACCTTCAGGACAAATGCATTCGTAAGATCCATGTGTATTCTTGCATTTTGCCAGGGAATTGCATGTATCGTTATTTGCAATGCATTCATCGATGTCTACATAAGCAAACATAAAAAGCTGTAAACACATAGAGCTACGATAAAATAGAACATATAGAAGCAACAATCTATAATTATACCTGTGCAAAGTCTGTTCCCTGATTTCGTAAAACCTTTCTTACACAGACAAACATACTTCTCCAAAGATTGTCTTTGTATGCAATCCTCCGTCACAAAATCACATGGGCCAGGCGAACTTCTGCATGTCACGATTTCTGTAGATAAAATTGAAAAATTATGGTTTGTATTCACTTCAAAGAATGAAACTTTGCTATCTTTGAATAAACACCATTATCTTTAATTTTCCAGCTTTGATCATGACTGTTAGTCTTCATAAAAAGGCAGTCAACTTAAAAGGTCATGATTATCTTAGGTTAAGGAATGTATACTGACCTTTTTTCACACAAGTTTTACTGTCTTTTACAACATAACCATTTTTACAAGTGCAAGTATAACTTCCTTTTGTGTTCTTACAAATAGCATGACGTGGACATGTCGCTGTACCTTCACTACATTCGTTTATGTCTAAAGAAAACATTAAAATGGAGAAGTACTTTGAATATACTCAAACTTTCCAGTACTTCTTCTTAATTTGTTATACATATACTCTTTCTTATACCTTCACACTTTGAATTTTTTAGCATAAAACCTCTGTCACAGTAACACAAGTACGTTCCCAATGTGTTCACACATTTTGTGTTTGCTTTCGAACATATTCCAGTTTGTCGACATTCATCGATATCTGAATACGTAGGCATCGTATAAATGATAAGTTTGTGCTGCGAAAGAGACATGTTTTCAGGAAAAGTTTCTGAAACTAATAGCAAAACTACTTTAGTACCCGAACAGTTCCATCCATTTCCGGTAAAGCCAGTTTGACAAGAACATTTATAGCCTACACTTTGGTCGTGACAGTCTGCATGTTGATGACATTCATCCATCTGAAGTTTGCATTCGTTCCTGTTTGGTACTTAACGGTAAAATAAATCGAAAAAATGGAATTTGTTGTTAAAAGTCATCGAAATACTGTTAATTTGATCTTTATTTTTATACTCTGTACCTCTATAGGGACATACGTCAAATTCCTTCAATTCATAGATCAGTCGCCCGCGCAGTCTTTTAGGTTTATGACATTTCATCCTTTTGAGATCGATGATTTTCTGCGTGTAATCTTTCAAACGCAACTTTCTTAGGAACCAACTTATTTGACAATCACAAACGTATGGATTTTTGGCAAGTTTACTAGACGTAGAGAATTCGAAAATGTTCGAACTGCAAAAACTGTACAAGGCTTTTAAAAGCGGTAACGATTTTTTAAATCCAGTTCGACTTTACTTACATCACTTTATAAGGTGCTTCAAATATGTGGTACGGAACAGATTTGGCTCCCATTTTGTCACAAAACAACTTTTTACGATTAAACGCAAATTTCCGACATTTTCTCCATGGAAACATGTAAAACCCTGTAAAAAATCAAAGAAAATTTCCTAGTTCTTTCATTCACTCAGATTTGTGTCGTTCGTTGTTGATAATAATATTCTTAAACAGCTAAATGTACCTGATACTTGAAGCACGGACAAAATTACAACAAAACAAACACATAACCTCTCGCTATTTGAGACCATGATATAACGAAGCTCCCAACTTGAAGTACGACTTCATTTAAAATTTGATTGTACTGCGTGCATTAATTAGTTCATTAAACAGCAAAGTCATGTCGCGTAGGAACGTAATGAGTTAATTAGTATACTATTACTACAATTTATTATTACAATTCAAGTCTTTATTATTACAATTCAATTCAATTCAAGTCTAATACATGACATCTATAATGAAGCTCTTAACTTGAAGTACGACTTCATTTAAAATTTGATTGTATTGCGTGCGTTAATTAGTTAATTAGTGACAAGTAATTAGAATAGTAAATCATAAATCTTTGCTGGCGGACATTTCTTAAAGACCAAAATTTAATCTCGTGTAATTCCTAATGATCAAATCTCTATCAAGCGGACGCTGACTCCGAAAGCGTTAAGACACGAACTTGTGTTTAACGGACAAAATTTTCCAAATATTTCATATTTTTCAATTTTTACAGACATAAAATCAGTAACAAACATATTGCTAAAAAAATTATGCAAGTAACCGTTGGTCGGCGTTCAAAGTATTTTTTTGTTTTCCTTGCATGATATAAGAACGCATAAACATCAAGTTCATATTCATTTTACTTCCCAAAGTCAAAGTTTTCATTGACATTGTCTTACAATGAAAAAAAACAAAGGTCTTTGGGATTCAGTGCAAAGACGTTTTTCAATTGTGTCATTCCTGTCAAACTGATGAGTTATTTCTAAGTTTCAAAGGTGGCAGAATATTGATAGTTGGGGAAGGTCTAATATTCATATTTATAAAAGAAACGCAACAAAACGCGTGCGGAGATTGCTTGATAGCTGTGTTTGCATTTAGCCTATGAAAACCGATCTGAGCTCTACCAATCAAATCAATCAAAAAGAATTTGCAAAATCAATCATGAATACGTGTTAGGGGGGGAATACTAAAACGTTTGTTTTTTATTAGTCTGTTTTGCATTATTGTCATTTTATAAATGAAGTAAGTTTTTTCATGTTTACACTGGCTTATGCAAACCTCTCAGCAGGTGTGAACCCTCGTAGAGGGGCCTGGTAATGAGATTTCTCTGTTCAACTTGGTTCAACTGCAGGTTCTCGTAGAGGGGCCTGGTGATGAGAACTCTGTTCAACGAACACTCCATTAAAGCGGACACAACTCCCTTCGCCCAAGAAGATCTCCATCACTGTATTTGAATTTAATGTAACGCATCTTGCTATCTCAGATTTACATACTGTGAAATACCTTAAGTCGAAATAAATTTTTGGACAATGTTTTTCTTTGCTTGGGCTTGATTGCATTGGCAGTAGTAGAAAGTCTCGCTAAATTTCATCAGTAAAGTATACATAGAGCATCCTCGTTAGCCTTTTGTCGCAAGTACTACTTCTCATACGAGTATGATTCGGTTTCTAGTGCGGCGACTATTCGTGCACAACGCGCAATTTAAGACTAAAAAAGTATATTTCTTTCAAAAAGATCACATCTTCTAACAGTGAAAGTTACTTTTCATCGTCACTATCCGACCAAACACTTATCATCGAGTCATTCATCGGTATACTGTCCATATTAGCTTCAGAAAACATGAAATTGGAAAACCAGTTGTATTTTGGTTTGCCATTAAAGAAACTTCTTTGCTCTGTTTTGCTTGTTCCCCTTCACGATAAAGAAGAATTATAGAATGTGTTGAAAAATGATATTATCTAGAGATGGATTCTCCGTGATTTTGTAGTAGGGAAAGTGGAGAAGTTTGAGATGAGGATAGCGGATGTATGGCCGCTTGCTCGTGGGTATAATTTATGAGCCTAGCATGATTGCATTCAACATGATGTAGAGAAATAAACAACTTTGTGGGAAATTTACACATACACCCTCGTTATACCTGCGTGACTTGCTACAAGTGAAGGTACCAAGAACTCCAACAAACATCACACATGGTAAGATAATGATTGGATTGGTTATAAAACCCTCTGTGAAATTAACGGTGTAAAAATACGAAAATTAGCAGCTGGAGCTTTGCTCTGCATGTCGAAGCTTTACTTATCTGAAGCTCTTTTTCAACAAACCAAATTTTTTTCGCTCCATTTAGAGAGACAATTACCTTTTTCTTGTTGACAGAGTCTTCCATTTTCATACTGCAGAAATCCTGCCTTGCATATGCAAGTGTAGCTTCCTATGTTATTTATGCAAACTGCATCACGGTGACAGTTATCCATTCCTGCTGCACACTCGTCAATGTCTACAATAAGAAAGAGAAAGAGAAAGATCGAAATATGCCGAAAGCAAGAAGTGAAAATCATTATAAAAAATGAGCATTTTTCACAAAAGGACAAAACAATGAAAACAGAAAACGAAGACGTGCAGAGTTTAAAGAAGGAAAACGCTCCATTTATTCACGGCATAATTCAGATGATGTTTCTGATGTTTCCAAAAGTGATTCATATTATCAGGCAGAATGTAAGAGTGTTAATATTTAAAATCGGTTGGCCTCTAAAGAAAGTACACAAGTCTCGATAAAGTTGAAGTGCGACAGAGAACTTTGGATATCCAAAGACAATAGCAATAAAAACGAAAAATAGAACTGTTAGACTTCACCTGTTTACCCACCTGCACAAACATCCTCTTGTCTTTCGTATCCTCGACGACAAATGCATTCATAAGATCCCTTTGTATTGTTGCATTTTGCCAGCGAATTGCATAGATCGTTTTTTGTCATGCATTCATTGATGTCTATTAAAGTCAAGCACAAAAAGCTGTATAGATATAGAGCTAAGTCATGAGAGTAGACCTAGAAGCAACAATCTATAACTATACCCTTGCAAACCCCATTTCCTGATCTCATAAAACCTTTCTTACACCGACAATTATATCTTCCCGAAGACTGTCCTTGTATGCAATCCTCCGTCACAAAATCACATGGGCCAGGTGAACTACTGCATGTCACGATTTCTGTATATAAAATTGAAAAATCGTTAAGATGTCTAACAATGATAATGACTGCGTAAAGGCATCAATAAATGACCAACCTAATAAGGATTAGTAGTATAGTTTAAGATTTAACAATGACCAACCATGAACGTTCAAAAACGTTAATATACTAAGATGAAGATGGTGAACAGTCAATGTTAAATTTAGAGCAGTATTCAAACACACATCATCTACCCTGAGGTACACAAAGCGATGGATTTGGAGGTCTTGGGGAGGGATGACCCCCAACTTTAGGGAAATGTGCATGAAAAAACACTAGAATCTGATAGAGAATGAAAGAACTCAGTGGTCAGTCTATCATAAAAAAACTTTACAATTTGATTCCTGATTATAGATGCCAAGTTTGTTTTTTTGAGATTATATATACGCACCTTTTTACAGATTATGAAATATAAGATACGTATGACTCGAAAATAATAATCTGAATGGCAATTATTAAGTCTGTAGAGTCCAAGCCCAAATCTGATGAGTGAAGCAACTCCAGGTTTCATACTAAGAATTTTGCGATACTAAGAATTTTGCTGGTCCGGGGAAAGCTAGTTGTACGACGTCGTACTAATGCTATTTATTACATGACGTACTGTAATATTGATGCTGTTCGTTGTATAGTAACTTTTAAAAGATTTATATATTCACTTCAAGAAATGAAACTTTGTTATCTTTGAACAAACATCATATTATCTTCATTGTTGAGCTTTGATCATGACTGTTAGTCTTCATAAAAAGGCAGTCAACTTAAAAGGTCATGATTATCTAACGTTAAGGGATGTATACTGACCTTTTTTTACACAATTTTTACTGTCTTTTTCAACATAACCATTTTTACAATTGCAAGTATAACTTCCTTTTGTGTTCTTACAAATAGCATGATGGGGACATGTCGCTGTACCTTCACTACATTCGTTTATGTCTAAAGAAAACATTAAAATTGAGAAGTACTTTGAATATACTCAAACTATCCAGTACTTCTTCTTAATTTGTTATACATATACTCTTTCTTATACCTTCACATTTTGAATTTTTTAGCATAAAACCTCTGTCACAGTAACACAAGTACGTTCCCAATGTGTTCACACATTTTGTGTTTGCTTTCGAACATACTCCAGTTTGTCGACATTCATCGATATCTGAATACGTAGGATCGTATAAATGATAAGTTTGTGCTGCGAAAGAGACATGTTTTCAAGAAAAGTTTCCCAAACTAATAACAAAACTACTTTAGTACCAGAACAGTTCCATCCACTTCCGGTAAAACCAGTTTGACAAGAACACCTATATCCTTTGTTTTGATCGTGACAGTCTGCATGGTGATGACATTGATCAATCTGAAGTTTGCATTCATTCAATATCGTTTTATTAAAACAAACTTCGTCTTCTTTCAGTTTATAGATCAGTTGCCCGCGCAGTCTTGCAGGTTTATCACATTTCATCGTTTTGAGACCAACGATTTTCTGTGTGTAATCTTTCAAACGTAGCTTTCTTAGGAACCAACTTATTTTACAATCGCAAACGTATGGATTATTGTCAAGTCGGCTGGAAAAAGAGAATTCGATGAAAGCAATTCAGGCAAAAAATTTTGCCTTATCTTGCCTAAGCTTTTACTTGAATTATGTTAAAAGTAAGAAAAAGTTAAAAACTTCGAACACTATCATCAGGCCTTTTAAACAGACACGATTTTAGAAAAATTCACTTTGACTTTACTTACATCTCTGTATAAGGAGCTTGGACTATATCGGTGGGAACAGATTTGAATCCGGTTTTATCACATCTTAAGAGTACAGAATACAACCAATCACGACTCGGACATTTACGCCAAGAGAACCCTGTAAAAAATCAATGAAATTCTTCCCTAGTTCCATCATTCACTCATGTTTGTGTCGCTTGTTGTGGATAAAAAATATTTTTAAATATATTTATACCTGATACTTGCAACAAGGAGAACACGATGAGAAAACAAACACGTAACATTTCACTATTTGCGGCCATGATATAATGAGCTGAGCTCCACCACTTGAAGTACGACTTCGTTTAAAACTTGATTATAATACGTGCATTAATTGCTTAATTAAGATAGGATTTAATTTTTTTAGGAGCGTAACGAAGTAATTAGAATAAAATTGGTGTATATTAGAAATCTTTACTCAAGCAAACAACATCATTTGAACGAAATAATGAACGATGCATTTAACGCAAACGACAACTTTTTTTTAAATTTTTTATTGCAGTCATGTTTCGGCAAACTTATGCCATCTTCAGTACGGTATAATGACTGAATATATGAATGGTGTTAATATATAATATATTAATCTTAACACGGTTTTTTAGTATGCACATGAAAAACATGTGACTTGGACGAGATTAAAACTCGCACCTTCGGGATACTAGTCCGCCGCTCTACCTGTTGAGCTACCAAGCCTACAGGGATTGAATGGAGTTAATAAATAAAAAAATCTGATGCAGGACATGTGTATAGACATGTGTATCAGATTTTTTTATATATTAACACCATTCATATATTCATTCATTAAACTGCACTGAAGATGGCATAAGTTTGCCGAAACATGTCTGCAATAAAAAAAAATTCAAAAAACTTATCGTTTACGTTAAGTGCATCATTTCAATCGTGCTAAAACGAAATTATGGAAATAATGAATACTGTCAAACTCGCATCAAGCAGACACATCCTATAATTCTGATTTGTTAAAACAATGATGGAGATATTTGTCAATCGATGTCTATCGGTTCAAAGCATATTCGTTAACTTGCCTGCATATGATTCCACGAGCGTTAGACTTATTTCTCATTACTGGGATTTGATTGTGTTGGTAATAGAAGAAACTAACTCTAATTTTCATCAGTGACATAGATATTAAATATCCTCGCTATGAGAACATTTCATTTGATCAAAATTGAATTCTTTTACAGTGAAAATTACTTTTCATCGTCACTATCCGACCAAACACTTATCATTGACTCATTCGTTGGTACGCCGTACATACTGGCTTGAGGAAACTTGAAGTGGGAAAGCCAGTTGAATCTTGATTTGCCATTAATCAATTTTTTCTGGTCTGTTTTACTCGTCCCCCTTCACGATGAAAAGTTATATAATGTGTAAAAAGATGAATATATATCCAGGGATGAGTTTTGCGTGATTGTTTATGTGAAAAATTGAGTTGTTTCAAGTAAAAGATGGTGAATGTTGGGTTTCGTTGTTTCAGAAGTTTGTTGATGTCAACCATGAGCCGAGTACGATTGCAGTAAACATGATGCAGAGATCAAAATACCTTTGAACAGTGGCGCTGGCAAAGGCGACAAGGGTGGGGCAGTTGCCCCCTTCCCCAGAAATTTTCCATACAAAGCTTTTTGTATATATAACTTAAAAATGACAGTGATATATAATAGTGCACAATATATGTGAGTGTCACTTTGGGGGTGTCCCCCCCCCGTCCGGAGCCACTCACACAAGAGAAAAATTCACACATACACCCATCCTTCTTACCTGCATAATTTGCAACAAGTGAAGGTACCAAGAACTCCAACAAACATTACGCATGGTAAGATAATAATGGGAGTGGTTATGGAATCCTCTGTGAAATGAACGGGGATTAGTTTCTGGATAACTTACAAAATGTTTACATATTTAAAGCCCTATTCTTACAAACTGGACTGTTTTGTGCTCGAACTAAAATGACAATTACCTTGATCCTCTTTAAGACAAAGTCTTCCATTCTTATATTGGAGAAATCCTTTCTTGCACAGACAAGAGTAGCTCCCTATGTTATTGATACAAACTGCATCGCGATGACAGTTGTCCATTCCTGTTGCACACTCGTCAATGTCTACAACAAGAAAGAGAAAGATCCAAATTTCCCAAAATAAGAAACAAGTGAAAATCGTTGTGAAAAGAGAACGGGTTTTTTTGACAAAAGGACGAAAACAATGAAAACAACAAACGCGTAAAAAGAACGAAAACGTGCAGAACTCAAAGAAGGAAAACGCTTCACTGATTCAAAGCAAACTTCAAATCATGGTTCACTTCAATTGTGGAAGATCCAAAAAGTTGTAAAGACAGGAAGCAGCCAAAAGATAGGACTGCAGCCAAAGCTTCTGTTGTACCATCCCAAAAAGGCACAATTCATACTGTTGAATTGCTAGAGTGTCACTCATTCAATCTTTGTAAATAGCTTACATTTCAATCAAGTAGCTAAATAATACTATATTATATTGCAGTGTAATAGAAAATTTAGTTTTTGTATATTAAAAGAAGTGGATAGCTTGGCGATTGAAATGAAAAACAAAACTGCATTTTTAACCGACCGTCACAAGTATCCTCATCTGCAGCTTCGTATCCTTCGGGACAAATGCATTTATAAGATCCCGGTGTGTTCTTGCATTCAGCAATCGATTCGCATAGTTCGTGATTTTTGTTACATTCATTGATGTCTATAAAAGACAAGCACAAAAAGCTGTATAGATGTAGAGCTAAGTTGTGGGAGAAGATATAGAAGCAATAATCTATAATTATACCTGTGCAAACTCCGTTGTCTGATCTCGTGAAACCTTTCTTACAACGACAGTTATATCTTCCCAAAGATTGTCCTTGTATGCAATCCTCCGTCAAAAAATCACACGGTCCAGGTGAACTGCTGCATGTCACGATTTCTGCATAACATTGAAAAATCGTTAAGATTACTGACAATGATGATGACTGCGAAAATACATCTTGAGCTGGTAACTAGTTCACGCGAAGTCAGAAAAGGGCTATCGGTTTCATAACTTTTTAATTCGTATTAAGGTCTGTATTAACTTTACAATAATGAAACTTTTTTTCTTCACTGAATAAACACTATATTATCTAAATTGCGAACTCAAATCATGGCTTTTTGCCTTCCAAAAAGGTTTGATACAATATAAAAAATTCCAATACAAGCTTCGGGCAACTGCCGCCAGTCAACTTAAAACAGCATAACTATCTTAGGTTAAGGAATGTATACTGACCTTTTTTCGCACAAGTTTTACTGCCTTTTACAACATAACCATTTTTACAAGTGCAAGTATAACTTCCTTTTGTGTTCTTACAAATAGCATGACGGGGACATGTCGCTGTACCTTCACTACATTCGTTTATGTCTAAAGAAAACATTAAAATTGAGAAGTACTTTGAATAAACTCAAACTTTCCAGTACTTCTTCTTAATTTGTTATACATATACTCTTTCTTATACCTTCACACTTTGAATTTTTTAGCATAAAACCTCTGTCACAGTAACACAAGTACGTTCCCCATGTGTTCACACATTTTGTGTTTGCTTTCGAACATACTCCATTTTGTCGACATTCATCGATATCTGAATGCGTAGGTATCATATAAATGATAAGTTTGTGCTGCGAAAGAGACATGTTTTCAAGAAAAGTTTCCCAAACTAAAATATATACTACTTTAGTACCAGAACAGTTCCATCCACTTCCGGTAAAACCAGTTCGACAAGAACACCTGTATCCTCTGTTTTGATCGTGACAGTCTGCATGTTGATGACATTGATCAATCTGAAGTTTGCATTCATTCATTATCATTTTTTTGGAGCAAACGTCCTCTTCTTTCAGCTTATAGATACGTTTTCCGCGCAGTCTTTCAGGTTCATGACATTTCATCCTTCTGACATCGACGAGTAATTGTGTGTAATCTTTCAAACGTAACCTTTTGAGGAACCAGCTCATTTTACAATCACAAACGTACGGATTGTTCCTAAGAAAGCTGAAAAAAGAAAATGCGATAAAAATATACCAATTGTGAAAGATTTGCCTTATCCTGGCTAAACTTTCATTTCCATTGCGTTAAACGATTAAAGCTGGAGAAAATTCGAACTTAAAAAACCATCAAAGGCTTTTAAAACGCTTACGAATTTAATTAATCTAGTTTGACTTACATCGAGGTATAAGGTGTCTCAAATAGATCGTACGGGACAGATCTTGCTCTGATGTTGTTACAATATAAACTTCTAGGATAATGCCGATATTTGCGACAATCACCCCACACCAGCTTTGACTCTGTAAGAAGTCAAAGAAAATTTCCTTGTTCCTTCTTTCACTCAGATTTGTGTCGTTCGTTGGGGATAAAAAATATTCTTAAATAGCTAAATGTACCTGATACTTGAAGCACGGACAAGATTACAACAAAACAAACACATAACCTCTCGCTATTTGAGACCATGATATAACGAAGCTCCCAACTTGAAGTACGACTTCATTTAAAATTTGATTGTACTGCGTGCATTAATTAGTTCATTAAACAACAAAGTCATGTCGCGTAGGAACGTAATGAGTTAATTAGTATACTATTACTACAATTTATTATTACAATTCAAGTCTTTCCTTTGGATGACAATATTTATAGCTACAAATGATGATTATCAGACATAGACCATTTAGCATAATATGCTCCATTATTGTGGTTACACCATTACCACCCTACTATTGTAAAATATCCTGTATAAACTAGGTTCACGCTCATAGCGTGGAAAACTGACAGCGCTAGATTTTTGTCCATTTAATGGTTCAAAATTGTTTTTTGACTTTATGATTTGCTTCTGTTGCAGTTTTTTTCATGAATTTTTATAATAAAACACGTTTTTTTAAAGATAATTACAGCGTTCCCTTCAGTTGCTTCATTAGGAGAGATGATTTAGCGTCAACATTATTTCGCTGTAAAGCAAGTGAAGAAATTTGAATCTTTGAAGGATTTAAAGTATCAATTACGCTATTTAGGATCGTAGCTCGAGGTAATTAGAATAAATTGTCACATTTACATTCCAAATATGACATAGACTATCTTAACATTAATATGGCCCATCTGGCGGTCCCAGCATAACCCCCACTACTGTGAAATATCCCGGATGCACAAGTTTGACGCTCATTGTGTGGTCCCCAGGCTCTACGCGAAGACCAACAAGTTGCAACAATGTTTGCGCGTATTTGCTGTGTCCTTGAAGCCGTTTCCTTCCCATGATGTCATCGTCCAGCCAACTTTCCGCAATGCCGCAATTCCAACATGTCCGTGTTGCTAAGACAACCGATCTCGTCCCAGTTCGAGGTTTATAATGAAGAGGAGGTATTGTAAATGACATTACAAGTATGGCCCCAACATCTTTTCCTGTCCATCCACTGTATGCATCAGCACGACAATTGCTCTCTGTCCAGCATTCTCCATCACCAATACGTTTGTTATGTAAATAATCAAAACCGTAATTTTCCATCACTCCAACTTCCATACTGTTTTTTATGATTTTCCTCTTGAAATTCGGAGTCAATGTCGTCCAACAAAGTGGATGTCTGATAATCTTGTTTTCTGTTCGAATGAACATCGGTCGCGGAAGCAATTTGCTCACGTGATTTGAGCTGTCCAATAAGAGACCACGAAGCTTCATCATGTGATTCAAATTGTCCAAAAAAACATCACGAAATAGGTTTATCGCCATAAGCGCTATATGCGCATGCCCCAATTGATTTATGTGATGTCCGTCGCTACAAACAACTTTGCATGTATTTAAAGGAATTCTGTATTTCCCATCTACTACGGGACAAACTGCATCGCGCCAGCTAAAGTTGTGATGTTGTAGACGTCCGAGAGCAGCCGCTGGCCAAAATCTTCCAGGCTCGCGCAGCCTTGATAGTAGGAACGACCGCTGAAAAGATTGACGTATAGAACTGCTGGCTCGGTGTCATAGTCAAGCAACTCTCGTGTGAGCTGCTCAAGAGGCAGGCTAAGGTTGGCTTGATTCGGTAAGTCATGAAGGTCATTAACAGACATCTCAAGAAAAATAAGGTCAACATTTTCTTGAACGTATGATTTGTAACAATACTGAAAAAAGTCACTTCCGGTCCCTCCCATGGCAATTTGACGCATCTTAAGATGCGAACCGGTGATAGGCGTTATGACTTTTTGCCACCAATCTAAGATAACACGAAAAATATGCCCTCTGTTGTGCCTTCGTCTTTCTGTATGCCCTCCGGCTGTGTTCGAGCCTCCTATAACGGATACATGAACATTCTCGCCTCTAAAGACTTTGTAAAGTTTGTGTTTAAGTCGTTTGTTCCACTTGTTGTCTATAACATGATGCAGCAAAGTTTCGTGGATTCCTAGAGATTCCGCTGAGTTGAAACGATCTTTAAATTTCCAAATGTGAAGTGGAGACAAAGTAAAGCACTTCGCAATTTCTTGACCTTCATCGTCCAAGAAATTTGACTTCTGTCCATGCTTTATGTTTTCATTTTAGAACTTGGTTTCGTGGTCTTAAGTCTGTCCTTTGTTTCTTTTATGCTAGCTTTCGCTTCATGTCCGTGGATTTTTACTTTATCACCAATTAGCTTCAACATTAGCGATTCCTTTGATGACTGTTCGGCTATTTTCTTTCGATTAAGATCTGTTCTTTCTTTAGATACTTTGTTCGATTTTCTTGCATTTAAATGACTCCTAGCACTAGGATGCTCTTGAAGTTCTTTAGAATACATCTCACGCAAAGACTTGCTTTCACAAGATGTTCTTTCCATGTTTTTCTTAAAATTATGCTTTAGCTTGTAAAGAATCGTCTCCCTCGAAAGCAGTTTTCGTTTTGAACTTTCTTTTTGCTCATCTGCTAGTGAAGTTTTCTCGAGAATTTTCTCATCATCGTCCTTATTTTTCCGGTAATAACTTTGTGATTTTAAACTGCTTTGAGAATGAGCAACTGTTCTTTGCTTTAAATGTAGCAGCAAGGAAGATTTACCAATACTGAATACAAAAAGCAAATAGACTTAAAGTCGTAACACCTAGAATCCACATTTCAACAATAGGCACGAAAGTCCATTAGCCATTCCTCAAACAGCACATTTATAAAAGCACAGCAAGCAAGGAATGAAGTTGTCTATGAAATCAGTTACCGAGCTCGAGATGATTTTTAGAAATAAAACGTTTGCCATTTTATCTTCATTGGAGCATTGGAATGTCCTTTGATGATTCAAGGTCACTTTTGGATTTTATTATTTTATTATTTCAGCTGTAGTTTTTCCAATGACCTTGTCCAAAAAATGCTGCTTTATAGCAACAAAGAAGATAGACAAAAGCGCGCTCTTTACAGGTGCTTCATTAGTAAAGATCGTGTAGCGTGAACTTTGTCGTACTGCCTAACAAGTGCTAAAGAAATCTTTAATCTCTTCGACAAACTCTTAAATCTGTTGCTTTTAAATTGGATCAGAGCCACGATAACATTTTTATAACCAAATTAAGCACCGTAGAGAAACCACTCGTTCGATAAATCAACAAAACTGCAATCAGAAATGACTTTCTTTTGCAGTTTCATCTGGCACTTTCAGGTTAGGATAGACCTTCACACTTCTGTGTTATTATGATTGAAAAAATACAATTCCTTAAGACCAATCTAAAAACTTCTGTCTTCATATCGTCGTTAGGAGCGAGTCCATTCATAGAAGTCTCTCGTGTATATGAATACGATGTTCAAATGCATGTGAAGTCAATTGTTGTGGAAATATATTGCTTGAGCTTTTAGTTGTTGTTCAAATCCTGGCAGCCGACAATCAATACACTGATTACACAACGTATCAATAAAAATACTGATTAATATCTTAATTGAGTGAAAATGATCCTTGTTGTTGAGCTGGTCCTTAATATGTTATTGTAATAAAACTATTTTTCTTTTGACTGAAAATCAATAATATGTACAAAAACATATTAGCCGATTTCCATTGAATGACAAGTAAAGTTTCTATAAAAAAGCTAGTCCTCTCTGTAATTTCAGACTGATCTTGTAATATCTTCAGAATGTTCCAGTCCTGTATCCTTCTCAATCATGATTAGGAAATTTGACATAAAAGGATAATCTCCATGAACAATATGGAACACTGTAAAATAGTCACAGTGCAAATATGACAAAGAACTGTTTACTTTTCCATTGTGACGTCAGTTATTTGAGAGTCGTAAATTAGCAGGGCTTAAAGCCTCGAATAGATAAAGTAGAGCATCGTTTTCCAATTTTGCTCGGAGACAGTTCAACGAAACATGGGTTTTCCCGTTCAGCGCTTCGTTGGTCGAATCGATCCGAATTTAATCTGTGGTATTTGCGCAAACGTCCTAGAGGCTGCAGTAGTAACACCTTGTGGTCATTCCTTTTGTCAAAAATGTTTGGAAATGTGGCTGGAAATATCTGAAACAGATTCGTGTCCAAACTGTCGCACGACGACGCTTCTCTTTGATCTCATTCCCGTGCTCACACTCCGCGGAATCGTCAATAATCTTCACACGGTTTGCGTCAATATGGAAAATGGTTGCAAACGAGTGATGACGCTGGAAAATCTTCCAGCGCATGCTCGTGAATGCGATTTCGCGAAAATCAAATGTCATGCTTGCTGCGAAGAGATAAGAAAATTCGAAGTTGCCGAACACCACGAAGTTTGCAGTGAGCTAAATAAGAGCGAGGGAAAATGTCGACCAACTAACAGTGACAAACTTCGTAAGACGATCAAAAGTCTTGAAGCAGACCTGAAGAAGACGAAAAAAGCCTTGAAGTTTTCCCAGAATGAGCTGCAGAAAGTGGAAAAGGAGTTAAGCGAGTTGCGTGACGAGATGAATGCAAGGGAATGCGATCCTTCATCCTATGATATTGACTGGGATCCTGATTATAATTATGGCTATTCTCCACAGAGTATTTCGTCGTTGTCTCGAATAATCTCCAAGTACTTGCTGGAAAGACCTGTTTACATCGACCAAAATCGGATTTTTACCTCGGCAAAGCGTTGCTATGAAATGTATCACGACTTCCCTGGTTACAAACAAGATGTCCTTATTCTTGTCGCAACCTGCATCGCATCTAACTGGTTCAAAGATCAACAAAGAAAATGCTTTCAGTCGTGGTTACGCAATCATTACACCTCGAAATAGCATTAGCAAGGAGATATAATGCTAGTTTCCATGATATTATAAAAATTAATGAAATTGCTCTTGTGATGTAAAATTTGATGTAAAGTAAATATGTTATAACGAGAAAGGATTTTTTCCAATAACCCTGGAGTTGTTATTTTCACTATCGGTTAATCCAGCCAAAAACGTTTTTGCCTGCCTTGACGACTTGATCTCGTTCACTTGCGCACGGGTATGACTTGGTGATTTATGATGTCATTCTGTATGCTCGCCTCAGTCTCTTGTCAGGGTCATTCAATGTAGTTACGCTAGGGGTAACTATCAATTCCAATAATTACATATAACATACCTAGTTATTCATGTATGTTATATGTTGTTTGTTAACAGTAGTTTCATAGAACATATAACAAAGCAAGAATATTTTAGGCGTTTATAATTTTAAAGAAATTAAATTTACGCTAAGCAGCTTGTATGCTGGATTGCGCTTAAAGGCTTTCGGGCGGTGGCTAGTTTTCTTGCTGTTTCAACGAGAAAAGGTAATTCGGATATTTTGGACAAAAATTATCTCACTGATTTTAGCATGCAATCCGTAGCTTAGTAGCAAACGTCGCGCTTTAATTCATGCATTTAGATTTTCACTGTTTACAAACAGTAACTATACATAGTTATACCAATATATGAATATTATAATTAAATAATACATATGCTTAAAAACGAATACACGCGACCAAAACTCAAGGAAACCAATGCTTATTTCCTTGAACTTAGGATCGTGCATCCTGGTGATCAAACGAATAAAAAACTTATGAAAAAAGACATCAGACATCTGCCACATCACACATGTATACCACACAATACCATTTTCGCTGTTTTACCTGTACAATGATATTACATTACACGAGACTACGACAAAAGGTTTCGGTTATAAAAACACTAACAGGAATCAAAAGAACAACTTTGTTATTTAGCAAAGGCAATCATCTTTTTGCGAGTGCTGTCTGCTGATGACCAGGATTTTAACTAAAACACTATAAACCTGAAACGCCGTCTTTGATCTTCATTCGTAGATTAACGTAATCCTCAACAGATTGACCCAAGATTATTTGGACAAAATCCACGACAGCGATAATGTAAATCCACGTCAACTATAATGTAAATCCACGTCAACTATAATGTAAAACCACGACAGCCGTAAATAAATCTACGATGATGATTGCTATCAATGTTAACTATCATTCAATCCACAACGAACACGCTGTATTTATTGCAGTATATGAATACAAGCATTATATTGAATTTAAGCATTTCAATTGGAACACGCACTTTTATACAAAAAAATTAGCCAGTGCGAGGTCTTTGGATGCGTGATTTGTTACCATATTAAACTTAAAGTTCACCATAGCTTTTATCAAAGCATCCACACATTAAAGTAAATGGTTTGAACCCGGGAGTATCGTTACATGTTTGTAAATGTAGATCGTCCAGGTTGGTATAGTCCTGAGAAGGACTGTTTTTGTTGTTCTTGACTGACGTTTCGACAACCTTAGCGGTACTCATCTTCAGAGTCAAATGAGGAGTAGACGTCAGGTTAGCCGTATTTGTTATCTGGTTCTTACGTCATTGTATTGTGTGTAGCCTCTTGTGTGTTCAACGGGGACTTAATTCTAAGTCCTGCCGGAACGTCAGTCAACAACAACAAAAACAGTCCTTCTCAGGACTATACCAACCTGGACGATCTACATTTACAGACATGTAACGATACTCCCGGGTTCAAACCATTTACTTCATTACGATCATTTGGACGACAGAGCGAACAACTTGCTAACGACTACATACGTTTTGCAAGCAACGTCAGACGCATACGCCAACCACTCTGTTTCAACCACCGCTACATGGATTTTGGTCTCGTCCCGGCAGGACTTAGAATTAAGTCCCCGTTGAACACACAAGAGGCTACACACAATACAATGACGTAAGAACCAGATAATAAATACGGCTAACCTGACGTTTACTCCTCATTTGACTGTGAAGATGACTACCGCTAAGGTTGTCAAAACGTCAGTCAACAACAACAAAAACAGTCCTTCTCAGGACTATACCAACCTGGACGATCTACATTTACAAACATGCATCCACATATTGTCCTCCTTTCCATCATGCTCCATTAAAAACTGTAATCACATGGTTTCTTCGGGATCTTTTGTCATCACAGAGATGTTTACTGACAATATTTACTTCAAAATATCCCTCATATTCATTAGGGACGTTTAGACTAAATATCCTTCGTCAATAATAAAACCATAAGTAACATGTTTGTGGATGAAGATCGTCCAGGTTAGTAAAGTCCTGAGAAGGACTGTTGGTGTTGATGTTGACTGAAGTTTCGACAACCTTAGCGGTAGTCATCTTCAGAGTCAAGTTGACAAATTTGCCTGTGCAAAGCTTTGAGAAAAGAGCCGAACAATTTTAAATGTGTGCATAAGTAAATCAAAAAAATACTCTCAGTCTGATTGTCTGTTTCATTTGAGTATCATATCAATTCAAATTAAACGAAATGAGTTTCATCCATTCGACGTTGTAGAATAAAATAGTAAAAATTTTCAAAGCGTTTTCATATAAAGCAGGTTAGGCAATCAATAAAAGTTTTAGCGACATGAAATTTTGAGTTTCCTTTCTTACTTTTCTTTATTTCTCTTCCAATTGTCGCCATAACTATTCATGCTATCTTTGTTTCAAATTTCAACTTTATGATACTATTTCAGTTGCATTCTTCACGATAGCTCATTGTCAAGTTTCAAGAGAAAATTAGCATCTTTTCCTACAGAATTTAAACACGTTTATTGGCAAAATGCTCTAAAAATAGTCGGTAACTTCCCAATCTGACTGAAATGGCTATCATTCGAACTTATTTAATAGAAGAGCCTGTAGCCGTCATTGCAACTCGAGGCTTACACCTTTGAATTTATTTATTTCAATTGCCAAGGTGAAGGTTTTTGCCTGTACCCCCCTTAACTGTGTTTTCAGTCAAAATTTTTTAGTTTTGCATAATTCGTGCCCAGTTTTCTTCATTTGCACGCGGAACAAAAGAGGCGCCAATTTAATAGAAAGTCCAACGTCCAACATGAACCAACTTTTTCATATTTTTCAAATACCTTTAAAATTTCCTTTCAAAAGAACGCTTTTTACAGACGAAAATCAACCCAAGGAATAAGAAACTCCTTGCTTATCTCTCACATGGCCTCACTGTAACTTTTCGCCTCAAAATTTGTTCATATATTTGCGTTGAAACGAAAAAGATGTTGGGCGCACAAGTTGTCGGAGAAAATATGTCGATTCACAAATATATATTTTAAAAGTATTCAACAAAATTTTGCTTCGAAAACGTTCAACATAGAAGTAGGTAATAGCAGTAGGCAACACACTAAAATAAAAATTTAAAGAAAAGCATTAAAACCTACTCCAACATGTCGTTTTCATATCGAAAGTATCCTCTTGCGAAGCAAACACACCGGGCACTGACAAAAATACGCAGTTTAACGCAGAATTGCACAAAAAATAAACGACGAAAAGATTCACAAATAAAGCAATTTGTAGTTATACATCAAACTTTTGCAACAGAATTTGTCGATATTTCAAGTACATTTTTAAAAAATTAATAAAAAATTTCACAAACCTTCCTTTCACCTTCGAGTCTTTAGGGCATCAAGCACTAGGCCACTAGTGGAGTAGCAGTGTGAAAAGTGATTGACGTGTGTTATGATTTATGATCATTTGATGGACTTATTTCCACTGCTTATCTCATTGGCTGATTATGAGCCTCTAGAATTTTTATTGGCTGCCTCTTTTTGACCTCTGATTCCCTTTTGTCCTTAGGCTAACATATGAAATATGTTATCCCAGCTGAGCGAGAACGTGGTATTCTATGCTTTTTTTCACGTCTTTCATTAAAATGAAGATAGTTAATATAACTCAATAGTTCACTCTGCAAATCTTTCTCGACTCCGGCCATTCCCGAGCATACAACGAATCTTTACGAGTATTCCCGAGCGTTCTTTATTAAGAGAAACTAGCAAGTACTTACTGTCATACTTTCTATAGGACCGTATTCTCATTAATAAATATATCTTTAAACAATTGGTGAAACAACTCGCTACTTTCAATAATGGTGTTAGCAGACCTTGGTCGTAAAATTACAGAGGCTCTTCGATCCTTGAGTAATGCAACTATTATCAACGAAGAGGTATAGTTTGTGCTTTAATATCTATATAACATATTTTGTAACTTATTTTTTATCTTATTCTGAAAGCTTTTGAAAAAGATTTCGTTGAATGAACTTATTTTGAATGTTGTTTTACTCACGGAAAATGCTTTCACTTCACTATGGGCTTGGATTTACTCAATCACTAAGTTATAAGATTTAAGATCTTTCCTGGATTTGATGGTTCTAGGTTTTAAATTCCTTACTTAAAGAAGTGTGCAAAGCTTTGCTTGAGGCTGATGTGAATGTTCAATTGGTGAAAAAGTTGAGGGAAAATGTTAAGTAAGTTTATCACTATTGTTGCATTGGTAAATATATCTGTACTGAACTTTAGTGCAGAGCAAAGGATTCACGATGAATCATCTCTTTAGGTCAGCCATAGATTTTGATGACATGGCTGCTGGATTGAACAAGAGAAGAATGATACAGCATGCTGTCTTTCAAGAGTTGTGTAAGGTAGCAAAAGTTTGGAAACATGGTCATTTTTTACCCTGTGTTGTTTCAGTGCTGTGCAATTCAACTGTATTTGTGGTATGCCATTTTAATATTTAGCTAGTTGATCCTGGTGTGAAAACATGGCAGCCACACAAAGGCAAACCTAATATTATCATGTTTGTTGGCCTTCAAGGTAGTGGAAAGACTACGACTTGTACAAAGGAAAGTATAGCATAGGTCACTATTTTTGATTAAAATGAGAACTTTTTCTTTACCTTGTTTATCGTTTGGGCATTTCCACAGTTGGCTTATTACTATCAACGAAAAGGATGGAAAACATGCTTAACCTGTGCCGACACTTTTCGAGCAGGTATGAGAAGAATTTTTGAAAAGTTTTCCGGTAGAACTGCTTTTTTTATTCGGATTCAATCCCTGACTGTCTACCCATCGTGCAACAGGTGCTTTTGACCAATTGAAGCAAAATGCGACAAAAGCTAGGATTCCATTTTATGGAAGGTAGGACAGGACTATTCTGTAGCTTTGGATGCACGAGTAAAGCCATAAATCACAGAAAACTGAAGGTGATTTTTTGTTTTGCTTGTGTGTTTTTATCCCAGTTACACTGAAATGGATCCGGTGATCATTGCACAAGAAGGTGTGGAGAAGTTCAAATCAGAGAAATTTGAAATAATCATTGTTGACACGAGGTAAGGAAACTGAAAACTCTGTAAAATGATATTTTCAAACACCACAGCTGTCAATTCATCAGCCCGAAGCCTGGCTTTCGTTATGTGAACTGTGTGTTTTGCTCTGTTGTGCGTATTCATGTGAATTATGATGTTCACGAAATGTATTTGCAAAGATACTACTTCCTTGGCAACCCTGCTTTTCAAAGCTGTACTGTTCCTTTGCAAATTGTAAATTGTAAATGGGTTTTTTATCCTATCATTTCAACCGTTTCAGTGGACGACACAAACAAGAAGAGTCTTTGTTTGAGGAAATGTTACAAGTGTCAAATGCTATAGTATGTGTAAATAATTATTTTTGGAGCACTTCCGCACCGCAAAACCTTTCATGAAAATGTTTTCGTAACTTAAGGATCCTGATAACATCATATTTGTAATGGACGCAACGATCGGCCAGGCTTGCGAGTCACAGGTATTAACACAGGCTCTTTTATATTTTCCTTGTTATGTGTTATGGTTGTGCATCTAGCGGATCGCGGAGTACAGTGTAGCGATAAAAGTGGGTTTAAAAATCGCATTATTATTTATAATTACAAAAGTTTAAAATGTGCTCTCCTGGGTATTATACCATTCAGCATAGTGCAATGGGGACTCCTGCATTTGGGACTCGGGATATAAGGTCAAACATTGTTGAAAACAGGCGAAATTTGCGTTAAACACATCTAACACACGTTCATCCTATGATTTTCTTACATGTTAACGAGCTCTCCCTGATATTTATTACGATATGAATAACTGATGAGAAATCTTGATTCTAACCGATATTGTGTGTTCATCATGCAGCTTTTTTCCCAGTTATTTATGTAACTACTGTTTTGAAACAACGAGATTTAAGAGAAAACCTCTCCTCTCCTTTCTCTCATAAAACCTTCTAGTTTTTTGATGTTGCATGAAATAAGGGAAGAGATAAAACTTGTTATTTTTCACGCGTTTATTTACGTAGCTTGATACATTGGTATAATTTTCAATACGCAAGGTAACTTTATGTGAAACATTTGAAGTTTTCCTACATTCAAAACTTATTAACGATTTAATTAATTCCTTCCTCTCCCCCCGTACGCGAGGCAACTTTATGGGAAACATTTGAAGTTTTCCTACATTCAAAACTTATTAACGATTTAATTAATTCCTTCCTCTCTCCCCGTACGCAAGGCAACTTTATGTGAAACATTTGAAGTTTTCCTACATTCAAAACTTATTAACGATTTAATTAATTCCTGCCTCTCCCCCCGTACGCAAGGCAACTTTATGTGAAACATTTGAAGTTTTCCCGCGTTCAAAACTCATGAACGATTTCTTTAATTCCTTCCTCCCCTCCCGTATACCCGCACATTTCTGTTTTTTTCAACAGTTAGTGGGTTTGTTTGAAGCATCCAGACATGTAACATACATTTTAATTTGTTCATCTCAAGGCGAGAGCTTTTAAAGAAAAGGTCGATGTCGCCTCTGTTATTGTCACGAAGTTAGACGGTCACGCGAAAGGCGGTGGAGCTTTAAGTGCGTGAGTATCGTACTCTGATCATTAGAAATGCTCAGTACTGCGTGAAAACAAACTTAAAACCTTCATTGAGAAAAGATGTATGGTATAGCCGTCGTCAAATATCTTTACAACATGCGATATCTTTGAAGATGACTATCGCTAAGGTTGTCGAAACGTCAGTGTACACCAATGTACACCAAGTGTACGTCAGTGTACACCAAGTGTACGTCAGTGTACATCAAGTGTACGTCAGTGTACACCAACAGTCCTTCTCAGGACTTTACTAACCTGGACGATCTTCATCCACAAACATGTTACGATACTCCCTGGTTCAAACCATTTACTTTATGCCATATATCATAAAATTGAACAGTAAATGAGATCGTTGAGTAAGACTTAAAACGAGTGATCTTTTGTATCATTTTAGCGTTGCTGCGACCAAGAGTCCCATCATATTCATTGGAACTGGAGAACATATAGACGACTTCGAGCCGTTCAAAACACGACCATTTATTAGCAAATTGTTGGGTTCGTTAACTATTTATGATACGTTTGTAGCTACTGGTGTAAATGAAGAGATGGCGGAACAGTTACTTCCTTTTGTATCTCATAGTACACGAATGTACCCTTAGTGTTCACGGTTCATCTTGTAGGAATGGGTGACATCGAAGGGCTTATTGACAAGGTCAACGAGCTGAAACTGGAAGATAACGAAGAATTGATTGGGAAACTAAAGCAAGGTTGGTGAAAGTTTTTCAACGAGAATTTCTAGCGGTTGTTTGAGTAATATGTTCTATCCAACGGTTGTTTTTACAAACTCATTAATTGAACAGGAAAATAACAAGCTTTTTCGGGTCGCTTTGAGTACATAAAGTTTCTTCTTCTTCTAACTGTTTATGTTTATGTTTTAAAGACCATGAAATATTTTTCTTTCGTTTACTTCAGGACAATTTACTTTGAGAGACATGTACGAGCAGTTTCAAAATATCATGAAAATGGGTCCCTTCAATCAGATCATGGTAAGTTTACGCACAACGTTCATGATGGATTTTCAAAATTTTCAATTCGTTTTTATCGACTAACGTTTACAGAAAGCTCGCCCCAGTCCTTTTGCTGATAATATCAAATGGCAAAGGCTCTACGCTAATGGCTGAGCAACCTTAATTAATGTCTATATATTTAGCTATTGCCTAATCCAATCCGATCCCAACTTTTCTACAATATACCTAGCTAATTCAACCTAAGCTAATGTTTAATCCAATCCAAACTTTTCGACAATATACCTAGCTAATTCAACCTAAGCTAATGCTTAATCCAATCCAAACTTTTCGACAATATACCTAGCTAATTCAACCTAAGCTAATGCTTAATCCAATCCAAACTTTTCGACAATATACCTAGCTAATTCAACCTAAGCTAATGTTTAATCCAATCCAAACTTTTCGACAATATACCTAGCTAATTCAACCTAAGCTAATGTTTAATCCAATCCAAACTTTTCGACAATATACCTAGCTAATTCAACCTAAGCTAATGCTTAATCCAATCCAAACTTTGCTGCAACATACCTAGCTAGCAAATCTGACCCTCAATTCCAAGTTTTCAACAAAAATTTTTATGGAATTTTAATGGATGAACACCCATTGTGGTTGTATTCTTTCAGGGTATGATACCTGGTTTTGGCAGCGACTTTATGAGCAAAGGCAACGAGCAGGAATCAATGGCAAGACTCAAGAAACTCATGACTATTATGGATAGCATGAATGATCAAGGTAAAACAACCGTAATTGTACCTTTAAATCCCTAACATAATGGTATGCCCTTCGTAGTGAGCGACACTTGCAAATTTTCATCTTTGTTTTCAAGAACTCGATAATCTTCAGGGCTCGAAACTATTCTCGCGTGAAAGGGGGCGTGTCGCTAGGGTCGCGCGGGGATCTGGGACATCCATCCGCGAAGTCGACGAACTTTTATCGCAGTATAATAAATTTGCAGCAATGGTGAAGAAAATGGGTGGAATTAAAGGATTGTTCAAAGGTTGGTGAAGAAATAGTTGCATGAAAAATAAATTAGTTTGTGACGAAGTAAGTGTAGTGGCGATGTCTTGAGAAATACTTAATATTTTCTCGCGTTAAGGTGGAGATATGTCGAGAAATATTAATCCTTCGCAATTCCAACGTCTCAATCAACAAATGGCAAGAATGATGGATCCCAGAGTTCTACAACAAATGGGTGAGTTTTTGTCAAACTAACCTCCCCCCCCCCTTAATACTTGAATCTTTCCGACGGTAGACATACGTGCCAAAAATACGAGATCAAATTACAAATTTCGGACAATCAAATGGTCGGACATGGTATTGTGTATGTCGAATAGTGGCAATAAAATAGAAAGAGGATGCTCTTGGGGCATTCGTAAATCTTATTTTTGAAATACAGAAATACTAATTATAAATACAGAGGGTGTAGGAGTAAATAAAAGCCATTTTCCATCATATCAAAGGACTTTAATTATACCACAACTTTCGTAAGCCGTTGAAATTATGTATATATATATAAAGCCAATATAAGGTAAAGTGGATGTCAACTAGCAGTGGAAGCTGGGTGCGATTAGGTATGCAGTGGCTTAGGGGCCCACACTTCGGTCGCGACCGCACTCTCCCTGCGTACCCCGAGCAAAGCCTATCGCAGGTGATCTCGGGGTCTGATGGGCGGAAGCTTGCTATTGCATCTCCCAAGTAGGATAGCGTGGAGGGGCCGAAATCTCCTACCGAAACGTTAACATGCGGCGTTCTAGTGCCTTACGCTTAAGAAGGTATCGGGAAGCATGGACCGAAAACGGGGTTTTTTGCTTTTGAATTTTATTATTTTTATCTCATAAAAGGACCTAGAACATCCAAGGATACTGCAAACGTTCAAAAAACTTACAATTTAAGCCAACTCTAAACATGCTTATACGTTTTTTTACCTTTTTCACTCTCGCATGAACGAAAGCATCCATGAGCTTCGTGGAAGAAAGGGATTATCTACTTTTTTACAATAGTTTTTTCGGAGATAGTATTTGATAAGCCAAGCCATTTTTATCGTCTAAATTGAACCCTTATGTCATAAAATTTTAACAAGTTTCTTTTTATCTTACAATATTTTCATGATTCAATCTGGAAAGTAACTTCATTTCTCGAGTAATTTTGTGTTTAAACCAGTAAACCTTTCGGATTCAAAGGAATTTTTTTGATCGCACAGAGACAGTTGTCCATTTTATTACGTACATACATGCAGTATGCCTTTCGTTGCAAGAAACCACACAACCAAAGAATATCCAGATCCGATTTTGGCTGCATCTAAGTAAGGCCTTTAAGACCCGTACAACCCTTACAAAGACATTAGCGACCAAGCTTTCCTTTGATCGTTCTGCTTTATTCTAACGCAAAATAGTTCATACTTACTGTTATGCCTTATACTTTTATAAATACTCGCTCTGAATAACAAGAATCACACTCACAAACACCCCAAAACTCAAAAGAATCTCCTAACCATTTTATTGCCACTATTCTACATAAACAATACGATATCCGACCATTTGATTGTCCGAGTTTTGTCATTTGATCTCGTAATTTTGACACGTGTGTCTACCGTCGGAAAGGTAGATTGATGAACTACGAATAGCGGCACGGCCAGCTCGATTTGTAGTCGTTCCATGCAACGTGCTAATGTGTTTACCAAAGGAGTACAATCAGTTAACTAAAAAGCTAGTAGCACTGGCTTCGAGCTGGCTTCACTGCCGAAGGTTTGATTTGTGCATGAAAGTGACCCCTGAAGTTTACAGACGTAGATGGACCCCCCGCGTACGTAATAACTGTTTTGACGTTCATGGGATAACTTGTTGTGTACTTCGGCTCGAGTCTCTTTCTCAAAATATATTTTCCTGGTTTTAAGGTGGCATGCAAGGTTTGCAAAGTATGATGCGACAATTTCAAGGTGCTGGCGGAACGCAGGGTGGCGGTTCGGGTCATAATTAGGATATGCGGGGTAAGTTTCGTTAAACCCAAAACACAGCTTTATCGTTAGTATGGTATGGACCAGCTTATGATATAGATGAGCAGAGCATTGTAAGTTGAACTTGAACAATGCTCGCGAGTTTACGCGTTATAAATAATACCAAACTTTCGATATATTTAATGTATATATTTATATATATTTCCTCTATAACCTTTTAACTTATAATAACATTAAAATTATTGTTTTGATATTTTATCGCACCAAGTAACTCCGACAAAAATATTTCAACTTTGGCTTTTTCGTATTTGTTTACACGACAACAGTAAATTAAGTTCCATTCACAGCAATGTAACCTTAGGCCATTTGGACATGACTTAATATGTGTTTCTTCGCTTCTTGAATTACCTGAGCGGCAAATCATAAAGTATTTCTAAGCAGCAAACACGCGCTAAATTATGAACAATGATTTAGAACCCAGTCCACTCCCTAGATATCTAACTACGCGTCAAGGCGAGGCAAGGATGCCGTATCGAAAGGTGGCACAAAGCGAAACTCAAAATAGAAAATAAGTTGAAAGTAAGCTTAAAAAACAAATCCTATCAAACATTTTAAAAAGCGAACTTAGACTATCAAATTTGCAACTGTATATAAACTCGGGAAAAGCGGATTTTAGTGTATCGTCAGTTTGGCCACCTTTCAAGATGGCGGCTAGCCTAACTCGTAACCATGGAGTTTTAGCTCCGTCAGATATCTAGTAGACTGGGTTCTAGGTCATTGACAGTGAAGCTCACACTTACCTCCGACTGATTGTGGCCGAAGAACGTATGAAGACATTCCCGCCAAAAACAATCTTTCAAATTGACCGTTTCATTGATGTGATCTGTGGTAAAATGTGTGATGTTATACAATACATTTCCTCGCAAATACATCGAAGAATCATTGAAAGTTGAAACTACCTTCAACGTGTTGTTTAAAATGACTCAACACACCAAATTTCAGCGAACAATTGCGCCACTAAAATAAAGCAAAAGTTTGATGTGATTTTTCCGAGTGGAAAATAATTTAATTCCTACAACCACTTCGAAGATGCGTTGAAAGTGAATTGTTTGAACCCGGGAGTATCGTTAGATGTTTGTGGAGTCCCGACTCGAGAAAGACTGTTGGTGTTGGCCGTGACTGACGTTTCGACATCTCTAGCGGTTGTAATCTTCAGAATAAAGTGAATCAAGTCACTGTCTACAGCTAAGATTGTTGAAACGTCAGTCAACATCAACACCAACACTTCTCAAGGCTCTCGACGATTGTTGATGCGTACTTTACAACTGTGATATTTCCTAAGATCTAGTTTCACACTTGATAAACGACCATCTCGACAACCCGTGTAGATCTACAAATAAAGAGGAGATTGATGTTACAATATTGCTTGTAAAATTTACAAAATAAACGAGGGGCGTCTGTGTGATATACATATGTTGCTTGTGAAATTTTACACATTAAAGGAGGGACGTCTGTGTGATATACATATGTTGCTTGTGAAATTTTACACATCAAAGGAGGGACGTCTGTGTGATATACATTTGTTGCTCGTGAAATTTACAATATGAAGGAGGGACGTCTTTGTGATGCACATTTGATGCTTGTAAGTTTGGACAGAGCACAAATTTAACCACTTCAAACTATGATAAATTTTCGAACAAAAATGAACGCGATGTTCCGGCAAACAAGAATATAATTTAGATATTTTACCATATTTCCAAGAACACATAAGGAAAATATCATGTTAGTGTTCCCGCCATAAAGTTGAAGAAGTTCGCCAGTCTAAATTAATATTGCAATAACATTTTCAATCCATTGGCATACTAGAATATCCATATACTTTAAATACTTGCATCTCCATCTAAGTCTATCCTATGATGTACTTGCATCTCCATCCAAGTCTATCCTATGATATAATTGCTTATCCTTATATACCTGGCTCAGCATATCAAATTACCTCAATATCGTAACATCGAACAATCTTATCAAGAGATGACGTCACCAAGACGCCTCCCAGCGCCTGCAGACCGCTGACACTCATTGTGTGCCCGCTGTAAGAGCGCAACAACTCTCCAGTGTTGATGTTATGCGACCTCACAACAGTATCCGCTGACCCACTGTACAGTACATTCTCCACGACCTGCATGCACAACACTGTCAACTTGTGATCTTTTATATGACGTATGAGCAAGCCAGTCTAATGGAGTAGAAGTTTCAAAGTTGATTGTAATCATCGGCAGTTCCAAATCAAACAGGCAAGATCGTGTCATGTAGTTATGTTTCGTACACGTTGTTTGTTGGCTGCTAACCGGAGTTTGCTATTCCGTTTGTTGTACAGTGTTCATCAAAAAAAAGTGAATCGAACTTTGATATAATATTGTGCATTTGACATTGTGTTTCACGCTTCTCTTTTTACATGGCAAAGAAGATGAATCCTTTCCAGCTAAGGATGTATTTTTCATTTCATAATAATCAGAAATAATCGAGGCGTCTTAAAATAAAAATTGAACATCGAAATTGCAATTTTTACCGCTGCGAACTGAACCCGAATATTGAGGTTTTACTGCCATGAAATGAAACAGCGATTTATCCGTGTCAGCGGTTTTGCATCGTAAACGTTGAACAATCTTCAATAACTGCACTCGATTTCAAACGATGGAGAAATGCAATTTCAGCTTCAAAATTTTATTTAAGGAGTACACGATCATTTCTGATAGCTTCGAAATGAAAAACATAGCACTAAAAAGCTTTAAAGCTCGCCCATTTCGCTACGTGAAAATATGAGCGCAAAACACAATATCAAATGCACGATTTCTGTTGAAGTTCGATTTATACGCAATACATAGCGAAAAATGATTTTTTACCATTTGATCCCGGATGGTGATCGTCGCATCAAAAGAACCCGTACAAAGCAAGGAACGTTGACCTTCCGTGCCTGATGACAGACAGCTTATTTTATTCGGCACGTGACAATTGAACTGATCTATGCACTCGTTGGTCTGATGGAAATGATCACAAAACATTTGAGATTTAGTAAAGTCGTGACAACAACGACAATTGACGGAAGCATTTTTTGGATTGAAAATCAAATCATCACGCTACCTTTAAATCAACAACGGTTACATAGCCACTGCTGAGTCCAACGAAGAGTTTACCAAACGCAACGTGTAAGCACATTACTCTTCCACGAAAACTAAACTTGTATGTACATGATCCTGACTGTGGGAACAAAGCGCATGTATAATGGTTAGGTGATCCCGTGTTATACCGTGGTACACCTAAATATACCCTCACCTTAATGTCGTATGCGCAGACTGTCTGGTCACTGGAGCCGGTATACATGCGGTTATTTTCCTGGATATCTGCATTATAAAGCACAGAAGGAATGAATGAATGAATGAATGAATGAATGAATGAATGAATGAATGAATGAATGAATAAATGGATGGATGAATGAATGAATGAATGAATGAATGAATGAACGAATGAATGAATGAATGAATGAATGAATGAATAATGAATGAATGAATGAATGGAATCAAAATCTTTATTTTGACACGCTGGCCTCGTCAACTGGGGTTGATTTCCACGAGGGGCGTGCTTAAAAGAAGGAAAAAATGATCGTTTTGTTCAAACCATCTTAACTTCTCTTTGCAGATATTTCAGGAATGAGCTGAATGGATGTCGAGTTAACGGTATTGGTAAATGACAGCAATCATAACATAGGAAATATAAGGGTATGTTTATGTAATTTCCTCTTTTGCTTAATGACTGTACCTGAAGACAATTCACGGCTAGTCGGTGGTCTTCATAAGTCCGCAAACATTCGCCTGTCTACGTACAAAAAATACAGATGATAAACGCAACGGCAAACAAAATTGAACTTGTAGTGTTGACTTTGCGTTGCTTTGGGCCTTCTTTTTGATTTACAAACGAGGCCAGATTGGCGTTTGTACGAAGCGTGGATAGTGCTCTTCGTTGCATACAGTCTTATGAAAGTAATTAAGGTTGCCATATTGTATTCAAGAAAACAGAACTTCGTTTTCTTTGAATTAACGTTGTAATCTTTTGATTGTCCATTTTACATCGTTGCGTTTTGTCTTTTACGAGATATTTCAAACAATTGTAAGAAAAACATATCCAGTGAATAGCACAATTCAAGCTTCGAGCAAATATCTGTGTCCACAACAAAGGACTGAGTATAATTATAAATCCAGTATGAATCTAATTTAACGTATACAATAACTACATTTCGCGCGATGTAATTCAATTCACTTCTATTAAACTTGGGCTACGCTCGAGAAAACATTACGAAAATTTTATTACGAATGTTTAACGTCAATGCACGGGTTAATAGATAGCTAGTCCCAGGCCTTTTTCCTATGGCCAGATCAACAACATCTAATCTATAGCTTGGGTTCACATGTTTTACCTTGAGATCAAACACACGGACAGTGTTATCGACTGAGGCGCTGTATAGCTTTCCTTTGAAGGGCTACAAAAGATCAAAGCACACATATATCAGATAATTTCTCGTAGATTTCCAAGTGTCGTCAAAAACCGTGACTTAAATTCAAATTCAAATTTAATTTTATCGGTCTCTTCCGCCAGACGCAATGAATGTTGAACATTTGACTAAAAACGACAAACGCTCCACTTTATTGGTACTTCACGTTAAAATAACTTGGGAAAATGTACCACCGGGGATCTAAAATGGGTTTTATTCAATTGTCGAACTTTCGGAAGTTTAACAGAAACAATATTCGACAATGATACGTACCACAATGCAACCAACTGCGTCCGTGTGCCCGACATAATCCATTTCTTCCAGTGCAACAGCATTTTCATTTTGAGCTAATTAAGCAAAAACGGAAGTTAATGTTTGCATGTTCATCTCTACAAAAATACACATATATGCATTGAAAAAGATTGCCGAAGTACCTAACTTAGGTACAAATATATCACGTTGAGTACTCAGTTAGGTACTAATATATCACGTTGAGTACCTACTTAGGTTTAATTTATCACGTTGAGTACCTACTTAGGTACTAATTTATCACGTTGAGTACCTAACTTAGGTACTGATATATCACGTTGAGTACTCAGGTACTAATATATCACGTTAAGTACCTACTTAGGTACTGATATATCACGTTGAGTACCTCCTTAGGTACTAATATATCACGTTAAGTACCTACTTAGGTACTAATGTATCACGTTGAGTACTCAGGTACTTAAATATTCACGTTAATTACCCATATTTGTACCTTGGTCCCTATCGAAATTGTGAACCGTACTGGAGATACTGTCTTGATCACATCTGAGAAAACGAATTGGTTCAAAAAAATGATTTTCTTGATTAGAGCTATGTGAGGCACAACTCAGAATTCAAAATTACCTGATTGCACTAGCCAAGCTTGCCCTTTCTTTTTCAGCAATCACCTTTTAGATACATAGATAGATTATTTTTAAATCTGAAATCACGTAGCCGCCAATGCTGAATGGCGTGAAATGAACAAGTATAATACACATTACATATTTACAAAGGTAAAGTTAAGAAAAAACTAAAATATATTACGATGCATTGATTAGAAGAGATTTCAATTCAGAAATAAAAGATGTTTACTATGTTTGCAAAGGTTTATTCAAACCGAGGAGACCTTCGGGAGAACTCGAGAGCAGATCAGTGCAAACCGCATGCTCGAGAGTTCTCCACAAACGTCTCTGATTTTAGCATAACGTCTTTTATTTTATAAATAATAAAATAGAGACTTTGTCGTGGTGACAAATCTGAAAATAGTTCTAAAGTGCTCTTTACTAAAAACAGTTCTTTTAAGAACTATCAACTTATTATATTACTTTTACCATTCACTATGGTATTAGCTAACTTTAGAATTATTTTCATCTTTTATTTCTATTATAAAATAACAATATTGCAAAACAGATGAATTTAAAACAAAAGTTTTAATTATTCCTCAACCATGTATTCATGTTGATTTGCAAATTTTCGTTGATTGATTGATTTAATTGATCGAGCTCAGATAGGTTAGCACACGCCAATGCAAACTCAGCTTTATACTCGAGCTCAGATCGTTTAGCACACGCCAATGAAAACTCAGCTTTATACTCGAGCTCAGATCGGTTTGCAAACGCCAATGAAAACTCAGCTTTATACTCGAGCTCAGATAGGTTTGCAAACGCCAATGAAAACTCAGCTTTATACCCGAGCTCAGATAGGTTAGCACACGCCAATGCAAACTCAGCTTTACACTCGAGCTCAGATCGGTTTGCAAACGCCAATGAAAACTCAGCTTTACACTCGAGCTCAGATCGGTTTGCAAACGCCAATGAAAACTCAGCTTTATACTCGAGCTCAGATAGGTTAGCACACGCCAATGCAAACTCAGCTTTACACTCGAGCTCAGATCGGTTTGCAAACGCCAATGAAAACTCAGCTTTACACTCGAGCTCAGATCGGTTTGCAAACGCCAATGAAAACTCAGCTTTATACTCGAGCTCAGATAGGTTAGCACACGCCAATGCAAACTCAGCTTTATACTCGAGCTCAGATCGGTTAGCACACGCCAATGCAAACTCAGCTTTATACTCGAGCTCAGATAGGTTAGCACGCGCCAATGCAAACTCAGCTTTATACTCGAGCTCAGATCGGTTAGCACACGCCAATGAAAACTCAGCTTTATACTCGAGCTCAGATCGGTTAGCACACGCCAATGCAAACTCAGCTTTATACTCGAGCTCAGATCGGTTAGCACACGCCAATGCAAACTCAGCTTTATACTCGAGCTCAGATAGGTTAGCACACGCCAATGCAAACTCAGCTTTATACTCGAGCTCAGATAGGTTTGCACACGCCAATGCAAACTCAGCTTTATACTCGAGCTCAGATCGGTTAGCACGCGCCAATGCAAACTCAGCTTTATACCAATTGGCGCACGCGTAGTGTTGTTGTTATAATACAAACGTAATTATATACAATAGCAACGAAATGCATTTTGAGCATGTAAGTAAAGCCAACGAATTCTCATTTCAAAGTCATCGACATCTCATACCAACCTCTTTTGGTGGTTCGCTTTCTCTCAAAACCGGCTCTTCGGTCGTGCTTGTGATTTCTACGCATCCCGAAAAGTACGGCACTTTTCCTTCGGTGACGTCACCGGAAGTACTTCTCACATCCAATGACGTCACCTTTATGTCTTTTAATACAGCAGAATGGGTGTGCTTCTTGTGAAGGGAAGCATGATGGGTTTGACGTTTGCCTAGAATCACGGTTCCATCGCTTCTTAGTGTTATCAACGATCCGTTGCTGCCTTCGAACGTTTCCTCTTGCCAGTGGGGAACACTGGGGAAATCCGTGGAACTTCGTGGATCACTGAAAATAGGAGCATTGTGTAATACTACATTCGGGGATACAGCACGAGTTTCATTATGATTCATTTTGTGATAACCTTTGCTTGAATTATCGATATCCTTTACGGTCCCACCGAGGTGACTTTTAGATCCCCACGTATCCCGTAATTTCCCATCACCATCATCACAATCACTTTTCTTCATAGCGTCATCAGTCTCCATATGGTGATGATGAAATCCACCTTTATCATCCATTGAATCAAATTTGTCACTTTCTTTTCTTCCCGTCATATTTTTGCCACCATCATATCTCGACTCGTTGCGTGGCTTCAATTCTTCCTCGTCTTGTTTCATTAAAACATTCTTGCTTTCCTTGCCGGCGATTTTACTTGGCGAAGATTTCTCTTCCCTTTGAAATCCGTGTTTTTCCTGAGCGTCAGTCAGGATCCTAACCCTCTTCGCTCGAACAACATCGATTCTTCGTTTAAGGTCTGCTTCGGTCGTTTGTAATTGCTCCAACTCTTGCTGCAATCTTTGTATCTTAAACTGTGTTGACGTGACTCGTGACTGAACTATAGATAATTCCTGGATGTACTTTTGCTCTTCACGTTCGAGCTCTAGCAGGTCAACTACATTCAGTGCAACACCACGTCCTTCGTAATTCTGGTCCGTTTCAATCCGCTGTCTTTTTACTGGCATGTTTGCGTTGGACAAATCCGTAGAGTTAGGTCGTTTTTGTACGTGTTTTGACTCCTCGCCTTGCTCAATGGAAAGATTCGAAGGTTTATTGGGTAACTTCGTTTGTTTTTTTGGACTCCCGAAGTCAGTTGGTCTGTCAGCAACATGGTAAAGCGGGCTTGGGGGATAGTTAAAGTGCGTTCCGCCATATTGTATCCTGGGACTGAACCCGGGCGATGCGACCAACGGCACGCGGCCGCGTTGGGGCTTGTACGCCGGGTACCGAAGTCCGCGGTTGCAAGAACGGTACGCCTGACTGGGAAAGTTAGAGTGAAGGTTCAGACCAAAACCAGGGCTACTGGGTGAAGCAGGGTTGTCAGTACTATTCAGGTCAATCATGGCGTTTATGGGTTTCATAACTGGAGCTCCACGACGCTCGTGAATGCGACTTGTATGGTTAAGATCAATCATTCGATTATCGGATGTGCTCTTATTGGTCACCGATTGATCCAATGATCGTGTCGTACTCCTCAGTTCTATCATTGGTGGGGATTTTGTCACGTGATTACCCTTTGGTGATAATCTATTATGATACCGAACGGTAGCTTCTTTATTAATTCTTGTTGCCGCTTCGCGTAAAGCTCCAGTTTGTCGGTCTGATTCATCGTTTGTACGAGGTTTGTAGGGCGATCTGTTGCCTCGTGTATCATTCATGACAGGAGAAACAGACCGCGCTTTGTCATAATGCCAACGTTCAGGTCTAACAGGTGATATGGATTTTCTTCCTTCTTCACTTCGAGTCATTCCTGGCGCGAAACTGTTGAACTTCCTGCTGTTGCTGCTTAACTCGATCATGGGCTGTTGCGTCTCAGCAACCACTGATCTCTCATTGTGCACTGGTGACCTGGACGAGCTTCTCTGCTTCGAACTGCTTTCCCTTGATTTATGAGCATATCTTGGTTTACCGCTAAATGGAATGCGGTCCCCGGATGTACCGAAGTTCATTGAGTATGGACTTGTATTGAGGTTTATCATACCATACGAGTTGTTGCCTTTGGTTACTGTTTCATTTAACCTATTCATAATGGGGGAAGTATTGATTTTCAGTCTTTTTTTCAGACAGTGCATTAACTACTTTGTACAGTGTTCAAACTCTTCATATCAGTAATCATGGCAGGAAACATTTTAAAAATCTATCGAAGTTACAGGAAAGTAAAGCAAAGTATAGCACTTACTTCGCTTTTGTCGGACGATTTTTCCAATTACGAGCGCTACTCCTAAGATCAATCATATTTTCCGTATCCAAAGGTGCACTTGAATTGACATTGCTCGAATATGAGCTGTGCGGCATCAAAGATGAAATTCTCTGCCAACTACCACTTTGAAGCCCAAAATTATAATCCACTTCAGATGGTGGTTCTTTCTTTATGAATGCAGGAACACCCCTACCTTCGTATGCTGACGAGCTGAATCGACGTCGGTTGCTTAGCTTACCTGCAAGTGTGGGGTTGGCAAGATTATGGAATGGTGAGACTGACCTGCACTTGGGTGGTGATTCAACATCATCATCCTTGTCATCACCAGGTTTTTTGTGAGTCTCTTCAACATCACTTGAACTCAGGCTCTTTCCCTCCTCTGAATTATTGACAACATTTGGTTTCAGGCATTGAATAAATCTAGATCGAGATTTGGTCAGATTTGGTGCAATGCCTCCTGGTTGTCCATCTTCGTATCGTTTCAGGACACCAAATTTTGATGCCAACACTCTGCGAATTTGAGGTGGGATCACTTTCTTGTTGGCATCATTACCATCCCCAGAAGTGGAAATATTCTTATTTGAACTCACGGTTAAATCTTTATAGCTACCATTCTTTACTGTAGCACTTCTTTTTTCACCTTGCACCTTTTCATCATTTCTTCCCGAAGGGTTCTCCTCGGTGGTATCATCATCTGTGGAACAGATCACCACATCGGGCGAATTTGAATCCACATTCTCTTTTTTAATAGTAACAGTGTTTTCAGGAATGTGGACTTTAGGCAGGCTGCCTCCTTGCAATAAGTTAGACCATGTCAGTTTCTCATTTGATACCATTGAACTAAGAGAATCCTTCAGATGTGTTCCAAGATCCAATCTTGCATCACTAGAGGTGCTCGATGTGCCAATAGACTTATGTTGCTCGTAGACAGAGTTTGAGGATCCTAACTCAGTGGATATGGTTGTGGTTTCAACTGTGCATGTTTGATCGACAATATCACAATTGGGTTCTGTTTTAATCTTCACAACTGACATCGATGGTTTACCTAAGCACAATTTGGACACAATACCAATATCAGAAAATGTAAAAATGTCCAGAATGGTCTGTAGCAGCAGCTGCTCGCTATTCCATAACCACCCCCCCGTTTACCCGAGCAGTTGCTTATTTGTGAAGTTGAAAGCTCCACTTTGCCTATTGCAAAGTTGAAAAACATAAGATGACATACTTGCTTCAGTATTTTCAGCATTACAATCACCCTCGACTTTATTTCCGATTGTGTTCTTCTCAGAAATGACATTTGTACTTCGCCTCGACATGCTGCTATATGTTGGAAAGGTTCGCTCCTCGTGTGATTGAATTCGGATCAAAACTTTATTGTTTACGGACGTTTTTTTTTACAATCTGTAAACGAGACAATGTATTTTGTAGTAAGGAAATCAAGCATAGCATTATATATTTAAAATTGTTCCCTCTAACGTCCCGTCATGAATGATGTAAGCGTGTTATATCAACTATCAAGAAGAGAGGTCACTGACATGAAATAGTACAAATATTTTTATTACGAACAATTTACAAATCACGAACGAACTCGTATTTCGAAAGACCTTTACTAAATCGCCAATACTCACTTCTTATTGCTTGTATTTCATAATACTAATTCGTTCTATTTTGGTATCCTCGAGTCACTCACTTTCTATTGTCTTGAAGAACACATGCTTCGTGTATAGTAAGCGCACAGAATCGTTATATGTTTACGACAAGGCCACTCAGCAAATCTCTAGTTTGATTACCAAATGTCCATAACATTACGGATATTTATCTGCAATGGCAATAAAATTCATTGTTATTTGGACTAAACAAGAGACTTTACAGACATTGTACTAATCATCCGGTAATTAGGAAACACTTTCCCCGGATTACGCCGACAAAATATTTCCGGTGAACGTCAATGAGACTGGGAGCAGCTTCCGTTTTGACCTTTTCCGGACTTCTTGCATCGTCACGTCTGCTCTGGGCTATCGATGGGCTTTCATCGATTTCGGTGCATTTCGGATTCAAGTTATCTCCGGAAGAGACGGCTCTCGCAACATAAACATAGTGACGTTTTTTGCTTACAGCACGTTTGCTTACAAGGTGACCGTTAACGTGTATACTTTACCCCCCTGAGTGACTTTCCCAGTTCACTGGACTTTCCCAATCGTCGACGCAATTACAGATGCGAGCTGGCTACCTATAGGGTCAATATTACAATAGATAAAGAGGGCCTGTTGGTGTTCCCAACATCTGTCTTTAAAATGCTTTCTTTCCTACAACAGAAACATAGTTTCACCATTCTTGTTCTTTATTATGTCTATGGGAGTTAAATCCTGTTGTAGGCAAATACTAGAAGTATTTGTTCCAATATCGATGGAAACAAAAGGAGTTTGTTCAAAAATTAAAAAACAGTAAATGCCTTACATTCTCAGAGATGAAATGAGTTGCAGGGGGCCGTTTTTTTAGGCCAAACCGCACTTACAGACAAGTATTCTCGTGAAGAAGAATTTATCATCGGAACAGCCACTTGGGTTCATCACGATTGTGAATATGGGAGAGAAAGTCGGTTGCCAGCAAAAAAATCAGTCTTCATTCAGTATTCAGAAAGCAAGCTAAAATATTTTACATTTGCTGCTTAAAGTCGACAGTCAGCAGTGTTAAATTTTTGGTAATTGTTTGTCAGAAATCAGTTTTTTAGTGGGCCATTTCTCTATAGTTAGAAAATCTTATCCGGACAGTCTTACATTCGCATTTCAGTTTATACGATTGAGGGAGCTTCCGTAAGTCCTGTTTCAAGATACGCTGATAGATCACATAAATACAGTGTTCCCCTTTATAGTATGATATATGGAAATGTACAATACAGACTTCTCCATTTCGTTTGCGTCACAACCATTAAAGACACTTCATGAGATGAGCGTTACAGAACGAATTGGATGTATAAAAGAAAAATATCTTGAAGAACAGGTGAAAATTTTCTATGATACTTTACAAAACGAGATCCTTAGAGAACCATTGAACAAAGACTTCAAGGAAAGGAGCGTTGTTGTGCCAATTAAAACTGAGCACAAGAGAAGCTTAGCTAATGGTGGACTTGTTAAATTGATCATAGACTGGTTGAAAGATAACGAACATCTCCATGGCATTAGAGATCCCCAAAACTTTGCAGTTGCACCAAAATCCCAAAGAATATTTTCCTCGCCAAAAATGAAGCGTAAAGTACAAGCCACTTCATCGCAGGAACAAGGTACTGCAGTTTGTACATTTGTATATGTCTCCATTCCAAACTGTTTCAAGTTGTGCAAAAGTAATACATTTACAACATGAGTATGTTCCTACAGTCTTATTGAATGCATTACATGTCAATAAAAGATGTCTAAAACATATTCCATGCTTCAAAAATTCTTCTTGCCCTATGTACATGCAAAAGTTTTGTTCCGTCAGGGTATATATGTACTAGCCATTTTCAAAAGACTTCCCGTGTTTTTATCATGCCTTAAAGTGTGTGAGTAGTATAAAAGATCACCTTAATTAATGAGCGAAGCCAGCCCGTTTTTTTACTTTTACTTTGCTAATATATTGCAGTGTCACTGATTAGTGTTCATTCACTTTAAAAACATTGTATGAAATCAATCTTTTGGAGAAATGAATAATAATTTTGCTGAAAATTATGCATTACATGTAGATGTTAAGATAGAACTGGCTTCACTAATGACGCCGTGCACTTTATTTGTTTGTTTCTTATATTTTTGTAATATAACTAGTAAGTTTCATTTGTAATAACATCAGAGCTGTTGCAAAAGTATGGAAATATTTTCAGATAAGTGTCGTGAAAACACATCTACAGACGAAGAAGGACTCAATTCTTCATCGAAGAGTGAAAAGAATGAGTCCAAGATTGATGAGGAAAGAGATATGACCAAAGAAAAAGCAATTGTCCATACCAATGCAAACAATGAAACAAGCGAAATTCATCCCTTTGAAGAAGAGTCTGATAACAAACTTGGACAAATAGAAAATTTGGACAGTTCATCTCCTTTGCTTCCCGTGCCTGAAGGCAACGTTCATGGTTCTTTGAAAGAAAGAAACGATCCCAGCGTGGTCATTAGAATACCTGAAGAGGATGCAAAAGTTACTACTTCAGGAGAAATGGACAATGATGTTTGCTCTAAAATGGATAAAGAAAATGTGTCGATGAATGATATCAATCACTCATTTGTTGGAAAACATTCCGAGGATGAAAAATTTTTGAATCACGATAAAACTGTAGAAGCTCAATAAAAGGACTCCAAGGCACTATGTCCATATGCATATGTCAAATATCACAGGCCAAGTGCATGGAACAATGTCAACAAAGCAGCAATGCTGACGAATGTGATGTTTTGATGAGAAAGGTGTTCATAATTTATAAAAAGAATATAGCTAGGTTTTTTTTAACAAACGGTACAGTTCCTGCAATTTCATCTTGTATAATCCATAATTTCTTTCATTTTATCTTGTATAATCCATAATTTCTTTCGTGCATGATCCTAAACGGTGAACCATAATTTATCATAATTTTGTGTCATACATGCATGTAATATAGATTTTACTTTAGCATTGTCAAAACTTGTTCTCTGTGTAATAGTAAAATTGCAGATAAACCCAAGTTGATATTTACATGATTTCAGAGTGAAATGGACGTTAATTCTTACTTAGGATTGAAATTGACGATGATACATGTTCAAAGGAAAGGCAGTCTGTAAAATTCCTGCTTATCTCTTGCCTCTTGTAGTTTTGCTTTCAGTCACTCTATAAAACTCCTTTCGTTCGTCAGCCAATGAATAACTCTTTTAACTTCTCATCCCGTTCCCCAGAAATTGGCAGAAAATAATTTTTTAAAGCTCATGTTGAAGGCTGACGATTTCATGCATGTCCTAAATAGTCCCTTAAAAAGACAAAGTATTTGGGAAGGTATGCCCATAAAGTTTTTGGACAGCGGCTTTACACGTTCCTTTCCTCGAGATGATTGAAAGACCGAGAAAGCATAGACGTGTTGATGTTCCACACAAAAGAGGAAATTTTATTTATTCCAACAATACCGACCATCGAAAGAAAGAAATGATTTTTACTATAATAAACTATAGTGAAGGTCTTTATAATTTCCTCAGTGTTATCGCTACTACATTTTACATTTTTTTGCTGGGCAACGGGAAAATGATGTCATGAACAAATTTTTTTTGCCGGTCGAAGACTTTTGGGTTGTAAGCAAAGCATTTCAGTCTCTATTTAAATCTGTTTGGACGTTATAACAATTGATTATAAAATTGTTAATTCACGTCACAGCGACAGCTATGGAATGGATGGAAACTTTGCATTGATATGAACATCTTGAAAAGCAAATGTTATTCATCTCATCGTGGCTGCCGACGTTGAACATGGCGAGTTTTTTGTCGACAAGATTTTTCAAAGTTTTGCTTTGAACACATCATAAGTTCAGTGTTCAATTGTCTGTGCATGAATGAAGGTTAATTTCATTTCGTTTTGAAGAGTAAGATGGTACGAGACGCTATACATCTTTGTATGTTGGAATCCACAGTTAACCCAAAAGTTCCACGATTTCCCCAATTTCTTTCAAGATCATTTCCTCCATCTGTATCTTTGCAATCTGAATCAAAACAAAAAAAAAAAACCTGCATAAAGCTTTTCTCCATAAATTATCAGTGGTAATAACATGATTATCAGTAAAAGAGAAGTACCTGAAGATCTTCCATTATCTCTCCTTCTTCACGTTTCATTTTAAGTTTCTCAATCTGAACAAGTTTCTTCCTTAAACCACGAAGTCGTTTCTCTGATTTTTCTCTCGACGTTTCCTGATTGTTTGTGAACGTTGAACTGGAATCTGTGTTGGTTTCAAAATCAGATCGTTCGACTTCCTCTTCTGGTCTACGTTAGAAAAAAGTTATTGTCAGAGAGTACCATTTTATACAAACCGAAGATGGCCGCGAAACTTTTCCTTAAATTCAACACCTGTTTGGCCTGAAACTGAAGACGTTAGGTGATTTCGTTGACTAAAATGAGTAGCGTAACTACACACGAGGGAGGGGTGGGTGGGTGGGTGATGTAACACGGGTTAAGATAGTTGACGTGAAATCTCGCTTGAACGTCCTTCTGACATCGTTGTTTAATGAGGCAGTTAAAACAAACGACGCTCAAGCCTAGCCACATTTCCAAGTGTTTGGATGTACCAAACGCCCAGTCAATAATAAAATGCAATAAAGTAAATGGTTTGAACCCGGGAGTATCGTTACATGTTTGTAGATGTAGATCGCCCAGGTTGGTATAGTCCTGAGAAGGACTGTTTTGACTCTGAAGATGATTACCGTTGAGGTTGTCGAAACGTCAGTCAACAACAACAAAAACAGTCCTTCTCAGGACTATACCAACCTGGACGATCTTCATCTACAAACATGTGACAAAATGCAATCTCGCATTTTTTATAAAATACAGTTTTTGAATGCAAAGTTGCATACATACTGCATCTAAGTAGCTATATGGAGGTCAGTTGTTTCAGAGCGGATGGAAATACTGGGAATACCACAGAATTGTGACGTCGTCACCTTGTGTAATTGTTATCAATGAAGTGTGACGGCCAAGGAAAGGTGATGATTCTTGCGTACAGTACGAAGGATTTATACAGTCAAGTGAACCAACAGCTTTGTATATAAAAACGTAAATCATGGGAGCACTAAACGTAGACCCGGAACAAAGAGTGGTGGAAAATCAATCTCAAACAAACATGCCATATAATAAACCTTCAAATAAATAATAACCTCGTATTCTCGGTCTCGTCACACAGGTCGGTGATTTCAAAGACGTTTTACACATTACACATATAAAGTAAATATATAATAATATTTTTTGTTATAAGTTCTTAATACTTATTTTTCTTTTCCTTTTTTGTAAATATTTTATAATTTTGAAACTAAATCATAATCCTATTCATTGTAATTAATTTATTCATATCATATTACGTATCATATTACTTAACACTAACCATGCTGCACTGAAGATGGCATTCTGATAATGTCGAAACATGTTTGCTTTCAAATAAATCGTCGTTTTTCTCAAGTGTTTTTTAAAATTGCTGCTAATTAGTGTTGAATATATTAAATGTACACTCAGCATTATATTTTTTTTTTTTTTTTTTTACACGGTGTTAGCATAACCATGCATGTAATTTTTATTATGATCATTATTATCTATTACAAATATAAATGTTAAAAAACTGAATCACATATGACTAAAATCAGTGTTTAAAAATATCCATGATAAAGGGACAGTCAAATGTAAAGACAACTTTCCCAATAACCTAGGTCAATATTTAAAGAATGTTCGCGAGTTGAGGCAGATCGACTTCCTCGTATCGCAGTAATTGCTGACCTAATCAGTGCGAAAGACAGTTTACAACGCATCCACGCTAGCGTGATGCCATATTGCAGCTTTCTCTTTTGTGCCAGCAGATCAGCTAGCCGTTTATAAGCAATTGCAGTCTCTTTCCCCATACCACCTGATGTTGAAAAGACCAGTGGTGTAAAAGCAGCATATTCAATCTCTCTTACTCGATCACCATATTCCTTTTCTTAGCCATCTCATGCTGACGATAGAGTGCAGGTAGATTGGTGTTTTGGTAGCTCGACGCGTTTGGGTGAAATACCCTTACATCAAAAAATGCATCTTGCTGTCTAGACCAAAAACCTTTAGCACGAATATCTAGTCTCGCTTCTTCTTGTCTATTGGCTGTACGAGGTAATATCACTTCCCCAGAAAGAGGTTGTAATTGTGGCTCTTTCACAACTGTCGAGCAAACTTCTGCCATCCACTGTGCTGTTATATCTCGAACTTCATTATGTCTCACTATTGGTAAACCACCATGAGGACATATCATCGCGTGATCCGCTGCAAAAGCCTTTCCACAAATGCAGTGCAGAGGGGTATTTTTCAATTGCCATCCATAACGTAAACTTAATGCATCTCGAAATTCCCCTTTGTTCAAATTAGCATTATATTTTGTTACTTCAAGTATTACTTTAATATGACATTGCGGGCGCAGCTCTATACTATCGCTGGCTCAGTTGTACAATATATAAACGTTCTTGTTGTTTGAGAAATAAACACACCTTTACTTACTTTCTCTGCGAATATCTCGTCAAACTAACAGGTTATGGGCCCAGGCATTGCTAACGCTAGGCAACAGTAAGTAAAATTTAATCGGGTGCGATTTATTGTGTTGTAATGGCTCAGGAAGACAAACTGTCAATTGATAAACTCGAAGGCGTAAAAAACTGGCAAATATGGAAATACCAAATGAAAGCCATATTGGAAGCTAAGGAATTATTTGGCCATGTCGATGGATCTCTGACACGTCCTGACACATCAGAAGGTAGCTCTGGGAGGCAAACAGCCTTTGACAAAGCACAGAAAAAGACGAAAGCTCTGTTAGTTATATCGATCAACTCCGATCTTATATACTTGATAACTGGGTGTGAAACTCCAAAAGAAATATGGGACACACTGAGAGGACGATTTGAGCGTGATACTATGGCGAACAAGCTATTTCTAAAACAACGATTTTTCTCTTTAAAGATGAAAGAGTCTGATAAATTGGATGAGCACTTCCGTCGAATGAAAGTAATTACTGATCAGTTGGCAGCTATTCAAGCCCCCATCCCCGAGGATGAACGTATGGTCGCTTTGCTGCTTAGTCTACCACGCTCATATAATACCGTCGTGACTGCTTTGACTGCAAGAGGAGATGATCTAAATTTGACTCAATTGCATCAAGCATTGATCAATGAGGAAGAGAAACGTAAACAAAACAACAGTAAATTGACTGGTGAAGAATTTGGTGAAGGCGAGTCTGCACTACAGCACAACAAGCCTCCTCGAAAGCATATCAAATGCTATGGATGCGGAGAGAGAACCATATCCTTCGAAACTGCCCACGTAACAAGAGACGTCAGAATCGAAGAAATCAAGATTGTAAAACTAATGGCATGTCTTCAAGACATAATGCAGCGGCTGTGCAGGATAATTGTGGAAGAGATACTGATTCTGGTGAAAATCTATTTGCCGTTGGTCTGAACACAGTAAAGGTGCTGACAACTGGATCATCGACTCAGGAGCCTCGCAACATATGACATCAAACCGTCAACTGCTACAGAACTATAAAGAATTCCCAGTGCCAGAACCCGTCGTTCTTGGAGATGGTCGATCTGTTGATGCTTGTGGAAGTGGAGAAATACAAATCATGATGATCCTTGGACCAAAAGAAAAGTATCAACGAAAGTCAACAATGGCAAAAGTCCTATATGTCCCCAAACTAACTGCTAATCTCTTTAGTGCCCGAGCTGTCACTGCAAAAGGAAATGTAGTACAATTTGGACACACACTTTGCTGGATAAAGAATGCTAAAGGAAAACTTATTGCTAAAGGTCGTCTTGCTGGTAATATGTATTGCCTAGACTGCAAAGTTGAGGAAGGAAGAAAGCAAGCATCGGTGGCGGAAACATCAAATCAAAAATAAATCTATGGCATCAAAGAATGGGTCACATGAATTTACCTCAGATGAAGACAATGGTTTCAAAAGCTATTGTGACAGGTATTGACATTTCTGGGACAAACAAGCTAGACTTTTGTGAAGCCTGTGTAAAGGGAAAGTTACATCGAGCACCCTTCAAAGCAGTGGGAGAAGTTAAGTCAACAAAAAGGCTAGAGCTTGTACACAGCGATGTCGCAGGACCCATGAATACAGAAAGTTTTGGTGGTGCAAAATACTTTGTGACATTTATCGACGACTACTCAAGATGTGTAAGTGTTTACCCTATCAAATATAAATCAGAAGTACTGACAAAATTTAAAGAATGGGAATTGGCAGTAACGAATCAAGCAGACTGCCATATTAAAACATTACGAACTGATAATGGAGGTGAATACTTGTCCAACGAATTTGAAGATTATCTCAAGAAAAAGGGAATCAGACACGAAACAACCGTTCCTCATTCACCGCAACAAAATGGTGTTGCTGAACGAATGAACAGGACGCTCCAGGAAGCTGCTCTTTCGATGATCTTACATGCAGGAATTGCGAAGAGTTTCTGGGGGGAAGCAATTTCAGCTGCAGCATACATCAGAAATCGAATTGTCACAACTGCAACAGGAGTTACACCATATGAGCGATGGTATGGTGAGAAACCAGATGTCTCTAACCTTCGCGTCTTTGGTTGCATTGCATATGCTCATGTTACAGATTCACTACGTCCGAAACTGGAGCCAAAAGCTGAAAAATGCGATTTGTTGGCTACAGTTTGAAACAAAAGGGATACAGATTGTATGACGAAAACAAACGGAAAGTCTTCATTCGTCGCGACATAATTTTTAGGGAAACAGACTTTGGGCATTCCAATGAAGTGCAGTTAGAGTTGGACCAAGAGAACGAGTTGTACCTGAAGAAAGAGGAAACAGAGAAGTCTACTATGCTGAGACGTTCAGCAAGAGAGAAGAAACCGCCAATTCATTATCATGATGAATACGCCAATGTGTCGACAACAACCCATACAGCACTCTATGTAACACAGGTTGAAGAGCCTACATCCTTGAAAATAGCTCTTGAAAGCGAACATGCTCAAAAGTGGAAGGAAGCTGCTGACTCAGAGTATGAATCACTAATGGAAAACGATACCTGGGAACTGGTACCTCTACCACCAGGTAGAAAAACGATTTCGTGTAAATGGGTGTTCAAAGTGAAACATGACGAAAACGGCAAAATTGATAGATTCAAAGGGCGTTTGGTTGCAAAAGGCTTCCTACAGAGGTATGGAATTGACTTCGAAGAAACATTTTCACCTGTTGTCAGATTCACGTCTATTCGAGCTCTCTTGGCATTTGCTGTTTCAAGAAACATGTTTATTCATCAAATGGACGTTGTCACTGCGTTTTTAAATGGGAAACTAGATGAGGATATATATATGGAACAACCAGAAGGCTTTGTTGTCCGTGGAAAAGAAAACCTTGTTTGTCACCTTAAAAAGTCTCTGTATGGATTGAAACAGAGCCCAAGATGTTGGAATTTGTCTCTAAAAGAATTCATGGTTTCTCAGGGATTTGAACAAAGCGCTGCTGATCCGTGTGTGTTTGTTCGCAAAATCAATCGTCATCTTACAATCGTTGCTGTGCATGTGGATGATCTCATATTATTGACGGAGAGTGAACATGAGATGATAAATCTGAAAGCAAGTCTGTCTGCAAGATTCAAGATGAAAGATATGGGAAAGCTCCATTACTGCTTGGGAGTGAACATCAAACAAGAGAATGGCTCGCTAATGCTAAGCCAAGAACAGTATATCAACAAGATCCTGTACAAATACAAACTACAAGACTGTAAACCCGTATCCACTCCAATGGACAGCAATGTGAAGTTAGTGAAAACGACGGATGTAGCAAATCAGTTGACCCAACACAATATCAATCGATGGTAGGAAGTCTGATCTATGCAGCTATAGCAACTCGACCTGACATAGCTCACGCCGTAAATACCCTGTCAAAGTTCAACTCATCTCCAACTGAAGGGCATTTAACTGCCGTTAAGCGAGTATTTCGGTATTTAAAAGGATCAATAAAATTGCACTTGCGGTATCAATCAAATGGTGAAGAAATGGAAGGATACTCGGATGCTGATTGGGCTGCAGATTCAGAAGACCGACGATCTACGTCTGGCAATGCGTTTTTAATGTCCAATGGTGCGATTAGTTGGACAAGCAGAAAACAACCGACCGTGGCTTTATCAACCTCCGAAGCTGAGTATATCGCTCTTTGCTTGGCAACGCAAGAGTGTGTTTGGTTGCGGCAACTTCGAAAAGACCTGAAAATTAATGATCCTAATCCGACGACAATAAACGAAGACAACCAAGGAGCCATTGCCATGTCAAAAAACCCTGTTTTGCATAAAAGAACAAAACATATCGATATTAAATTTCATTTTGTTCGTGAGAAAGTTGAAGATGAAACTATTCAAGTAAACTACTGTCCAACAGATGAAATGATTGCTGACATCTTTACAAAACCATTACCACAAGGAAAATTTGAGAAACTTCGCTCTAAGCTAGGACTTACCTTAATGTAGTATGATGCTGAGTGAGTGGGAGTGTTGAATTTATTAAATGTACACTCAGCATTATATTTTGTTACTTCAAGTATTACTTTAATATGACATTGCGGGCGCAGCTCTATACAATCGCTGGCTCAGTTGTACAATATATAAACGTTCTTGTTGTTTGAAATAAACACACCTTTACTTACTTTCTCTGCGAATATCTCGTCAAACTAACAATTAGAAATTGTGTTGTTATATTATAAAAGTTAAATGATGTCAGAGCAAGACACAGATGTCTTACAACCACTTTTAGATGAACATGTTCAAACACGACATGAAGATACACCTAGACCCACGAGTTCAGAACCCGTGGCAAAGCGTCGTTGGTCACAGCATTTGTCCTTTTTATTTTACTTTGTTGTCGGTTTAGCCATGTTTGTGTATAGCCTGATTTCTAGAAGAACCACAGTTTACACAAAATTAGCGGATTTCAGTAAGAATAGTTTTGAGGCAATCAAGAATGGGACACGTATCGTCTATGTGAAAGGGGAAGAACATACTTATCAATATTATTCAACATCGGAGTGGGATTGTTATCATATATTGGTGTGACGATTGTCAATCGTGTTATTCTGATTATTGAAGAGTTATTCCAGTTGCAAAGTCGTTACAACGGTGACATTATAGAACTTTTAGGTTCTGCTTTAAGCGGAATTTACTGGAAAGGAGCTGCAGCGATTTTGTCTCTTAGTATTGGCTTAATAGTAGCTGGTCGAGAACTAAGTGGAAAGGAACCGGTGAACATAGAAGATGCAATTACTTTTGGTTGTGCAATTGGTGTCTATCCACTTTTTGCTCATTTACTTAATTTAAACGCTCTGGCAGATGCAGAATTTAACAGGATGGTTGAAAAGAGACAACTTTATCCTGCCTATACACTGGCGTGGAACTACTATTTTGAGGTTTTACAAGATCTTTTACCCATAGTCGATGATAGATTCACGGAAGAAAGAATTTCACATGAAGATGGAGAAGCAGGAACTGATGAAGAACAAACAGATAAAAGACCACGAAGAAGAGATTGTAACATGAAACTGATTGTGATTGTTTCACACGACTGTAGAAGTTATGAAAAATTAGAAAAAGTTGATAAATGCATTCGAAAAGTAAAGGATGTCGAAAGCAATGGATACAGTGTTCCCCTTTATAGTCTGACATATGGAAATGTACAATACAGACTTCTCATTTTGTTTGCATCACAACCATTAAATACACTTCATGAGATGAAGTTACAGAACGAATTGGATGTATAAAAGAAAAAATCTTGAAGAACAGGTGAAAATTTTCTATGATACTTTACAAAACGAGATCCTTAGAGAACCATTGAACAAAGACTTCAAGGAAAGGAGCATTATTGTGCCAATTAAGACTGAGCACAAGAGAAGCTTAGCTAATGGTGGACTTGTTAAATTGATCATAGACTGGTTGAAACATAATGAATTCTTTGATGGCATTAGTGATCCCCAAAACTTTGCAGTTGCACCAGAACCTCAAAGCATATTTTCTTCGCCAAAAATGGAGCTTAAAGTACAAGCCACTTCATCGCAGGAACAAGGTACTGCAGTTTGTACATTTGTATATATCTCCATTCCAAACTGTTTCAAGTTGTGCAAAAGTAATACATTTACAACATGAGTATGTTCCTACAGTCTTATTGAATGCATTACATGTCCATAAAATATGTCTAAAACATATTTCATGCTTTAAAAATTCTTCTTTCCCTATGTACATACAAAAGTTTTGTTCCGTCAGGGTATATATGTACAGGCCATTTTCAAAAGACTTCCCGTGCTTTTATTATGCCTTAAAGTGTGAGTATTATAAAAGGTCACCTTAATTAACGAGCGAAGCCAGCCCGTTTTTTTACTCTTACATTGCTAATATATTGCAGTGTCACTGATTAGTGTTCATTCACTTTAAAACATTGTATGAAATCAATCTTTTGGAGAAATGAATAATAATTTTGCTGAAAATTATGCATTGCATGTAGATGTTAAGATAGAACTGGCTTCACTAATGACGCCGTGCACTTTATTTGTTTGTTTCTTTTATTTTTGTAATATAACTAGTATGTTTCATTTGTAATAACATCAGCGTTGTTGCAAGATTATGGAAATATTTTCAGATAAGTGTCGTAAAAACGCATCTACAGACGAAGAAGGACTTAATTCTTTATCGAAGAGTGAAAAGAATGAGTCCAAGATTGATGAGGAAAGAGATATGACCAACGAAAAAGCAATTGTCCATATCAATGCAAACAATGAAACAAGCGAAATTCATCCCCTTAAAGAAGAGTCTGATAACAATCTTGAACAAATAGAAAATGTGAACAGTTCATCTCCTTTGCTTTCCGTGCCTGAAGGCAACGTTCATAATTCTTTGCAGCAAAGAAACAAACCCAGCGTGGTCATTAGAATACCTGAAGAGGATGCAAAAGTTACTTTTTATAGACAACTGGCATTTATCGGTGATAGTTTGCAAAACCCCCGAGGATGAAAAATTTTTGAATCACGATAGAACTGTAGAAGCTCAATAAAAGGACTCCAAGACACTATGTCCATATGCATATGTCAAATATCACAGGCCAAGTGCATGGAAAAATATCAACAAAGCAACAATGCTGACGAATGTCATGTTTAATGAAAAAGGTGTTCATAATTTATAAAAAGAATATAGCTAGGTTTTTTTTAACAAACGGTACAATTCCTGCAATTTCATCTTGTATAATCTATTATTCCTTTCATTTTATCTTGTATAATCCATAATTTCTTTCGTGCATGATCCTAAACGGTGAACCATAATTTATCATAATTTTGTGTCATACATGCATGTAATATAGATTTTACTTTAGCATTATCAAAACTTGTTCTCTGTGCAATAGTAAAAATTGCAGATAAACCCAAGTTGATATTTACATGATTTCAGAGTGAAATGGACGTTGATTCTTACTTAGGATTGAAACAGACGATGATACTTGTTCAAAGAAAGGCAGTCTGTAAAATTCCTGCTTATCTCTTGCCTCTTGTAGTTTTGCTTTCAGTCACTCTACAAGACTCCTTTCCTTCGTCAGCCAATGAATAACTCTTTTAACTTCTCATCTCGTTCCCCAGAAATTGTGAAAATAATTTTTTAAAGCTCATGTTGAAGCGTGACGATTTCATGCATGTCCTAAATAGTCCGTCAAAAAGACAAATTATTTGGGAAGGTATGCCTATAAAGTTTTTGGACAGCGGCTTTACAAGTTCCTTTCCTCGATATGATTGAAAGACCGAGAAAGCATAGACGTGTTGATGTTCCACACAAAAGAGGAAATTTTATTTATTCCAACAATAGCGACCATCGAAAGAAAGAAATGATTTTTACTATAATAAACTATAGTGAAGGTCTTTATAATTTCCTCAGTGTTATCGCTACTACATTTTACATTTTTTTGCTGGGCAACTGGAAAATGTCGTCGCGAACAAATTTTTTTTTCCAGTTGAAGATTCTTGGGTTGTAAGCAAAGCATTTCATTCTCTATTTAAATCTGTTTGGACGTTATAACAATTGATTATAAAATTGTTAATTCACGTTACAGCGACAGCTATGGAGTGGATGGAAACTTTGCATTGATATGAACATGTTGAAAAGCAAATGTTATTCATCTCATCATGGCTGCCGACGTTGAACATGGCGAGTTTTTTGTCGACAAGATTTTTCAAAGTTTTGCTTTGAACACATCATAAGTTCAGTGTTCAATTGTCTGTGCATGAATGAAGGTTAATTTCATTTCGTTTTGAAGAGTAAGATGGTACGAGACGCTGTACATCTTTGTATGTTGGAATCCACAGTTAACCCAAAAGTTCCACGATTTCCCCAATTTCTTTCAAGATCATTTCCTCCATCTGTATCTTTGCAATCTGAATCAAAACAAAAAAAAAAAACCTGCATAAAGCTTTTCTCCATAAATTATCAGTGGTAATAACATGATTATCTGTAAAAGAGAAGTACCTGAAGATCTTCCATTATCTCTCCTTCTTCACGTTTCATTTTAAGTTTCTCAATCTGAACAAGTTTCTTCCTTAAACCACGAAGTCGTTTCTCTGATTTTTCTCTCGACGTTTCCTGATTGTTTGTGAATGTTGAACTGGAATCTGTGTTGGTTTCAAAATCAGATCGTTCGACTTCCTCTTCTGGTCTACGTTAGAAAAAAGTTATTGTCAGAGAGTACCATTTTACACAAACCGAAGATGGCCGCGAAACTTTCTTAAATTCAACACCTGTTTAGCCTGAAACTAAAGACGTTAGGTGATTTTGTTGCCTGAAATGAGTGGCGTAACTACACACGAGGGAGGGGTGGGTGGGTGATGTAACATGGGTTAAGATAGTTGACGTGAAATCTCACTTGAACGTCCTTCTGACATCGTTGTTTATTGAGGCAGTTAAAACAAACGACGCTTAAGCCTAGCCACATTTCCAAGTGTTTGGATGTGCCAAACGCCCAGTCAATAATAAAATGCAATAAAGTAAATGGTTTGAACCCGGGAGTATCGTTAGATGTTTGTAGATGTAGATCGTCCAGGTTGGTATAGTCCTGAGAAGGACTGTTTTGACTCTGAAGATGACTACCGCTAAGGTTGTCGAAACGTAAGTCAACAACAACAAAAACAGTCCTTCTCAAGACTATACCAACCTGGACGATCTTCATCTACAAACATGTAATAAAATGCAATCTCGCATTTTTTATAAAATACAGTTTTTGAATGCAAAGTTGCATCCATACTGCATCTAAGTAGCTATATGGAGGTGAGTTGTTTCAGAGCGGATGTAAATACTGGGAATACAACAGAATTGTGACCTTGTCACCTTGTGTAATTGTTATCAATGAAGTGTGACGGCGAAGGAAAGGTGATGATTCTTGCGTACAGTACGAAGGATTTATATAGTCAAGTGAGACAACTGCCTTGTATGTAAAACGTAAATCATGGGAGCACTAAACGTAGACCCTGAACAAGGAGTGGTGGAAAATCAATCTCAAACACAACATGAAGGAACATCAAAACCCACGCGTTCAGAACCCATAGCAAAGCGTCGTAAACCACAGTATTTGGCTTTAGTATTTTACATAGTTGTCGGTGTGGCTATGCTTGTGTATAGCTTAATAGAGAGAAGAAAGACAGAGTACACAGAATTAGCGGATTTCAGTAAGAATAGTTTAGAGGCAATTAAGAATGGGACACGTATCGTCTATGTGAAAGGGGAAGAACATACTTATCCAATATTATTTAACATCGGAGTCGGATTGTTATCTTTCATCTTGGTAACGTTTTTCAATCGCATTATTCTGGTCATAGAAGAGCTTCGCCAGTTCCAAAGTCGTTATAAAAGGAACATTCGTAAACTCCTGGGTTCTTGTTTGAGCGGAACTTCCTGGAAAGGTGTTGTTGTGCTTTTGTTGCTTGGTGGTGCGTTAGTGTATGCTGGCCGAAAACTAGGCGGAAAAGAACCGCTGCACATAGAAGATGCCATTACTTTTGTATGTGCGATCGGCGTTTATCCACTTTTTGCTTGTTTACTTGATTTAAACGCTCTGGCAGATGCAGAATTTTCGGGAATGGTTGAAGAGAAAAAACTTTATCCTGCCTATACACTGGCGTGGAACTACTATTTTGAAGTTTTACAAAATCTTTTACCCATAGTCAATGAAAAAGTAACGGAAAATAACGTCCCATTTGAAGATAACGAAAATGAAGATGCGAAAACCGACAAGAATAGAGAACACAAGGTAACCCTTGAAAAACTGATTTTGATTGTTTCACATGATTGCAGAACTTATGAAAACTTAGAAAAACTTGATCCTTCCAACATTGTGAAATTACATGATGTTGAATGCAATGGATACAGTATTCCTCTTTATAAGATGAAGGATGACAGCGAGCAATATATACTTCCTGCATTGTATGTCACCCAACCATTGAAGACACTTCATGAGATGAGCACACATGGACGAATTGAATGTGTAAGTGATGAAAATCTTGAAGAACAAGTGAAACTTTTCTATAATACCCTGCAAAACGAAATCCTTTGCAAACCATTGAATGAAGACTTCAAGGAAAAATGCATAGTTTTGCCAATAAAGGCTGACCAAAAAAGAAACTTGGCGAAGGGAGGGCTTGTTAAATTGATCATAAAACGGTTGAAAGATGATGAAGATTCTGGTGGCAGTAAACATAATCAAAGCTTTGCTTCACCACCATCACGTTCAAAAACATTTAGTTATGAACAAAATCTTTCTCCCTGGAAAAGGTACTGTAATTTGTACAGTTATGTACAAAATTAAATGGCAGCATTCTTATCATGATTATTATTCCATTTGGGTCATTTCAAATGTAGGTTGTTAAGTTCCTAACTTTATTTAGTGTCAGTTTTCTGTGTTTCCATTAAGCTGAAGTACCTATATTAGGGTCGGGGAAACACTTTCTTCAGAAAGTTGAATTGATTTTAAGAACATTTACAACATATTTGATAGGTGGAAAATTTTATGTTATTAGGCTTTTTAGGCTCAGACATATGTGACCCATTGTTGGAAGTAAAATACATTGGAGAACATGCTTGCTTCATAAAGTATAAACGCCTTATGATATTATAGAATTTCAGTGGGAAATAACATCTGAACAGTCACACTTTCAAATGTTTATTAAATTACTATAAACCTGTATCATAAAAGCTACATCTTCAATGCACGTGTTCACTAATATAAGTCACTTCTGGTGCTGAGTCATGTACTTCTAGCCTTGAAAAGCCCGTGAAGAATACAATTTTTTTTTTAAATAGAAAATAATGCAAATGTTGTTATATAGCAAGCCAGCAAATTTGGTACTGCAGTGTTAATTTTGCTGCATTCTGCATCTGAAATTTACACAGCAGGACCAAAACTTGTGGGCTTGCTACGCTACTGTAACTATCTAATTAAATCATTTCCCTTTCCTTGATAAGCGCTTTAATTACTTGGTTTTGTGACACAACTGAAAGCATTACTATGGCAACTACATGTGAATTGTTACCAGTTGTCACCGCATGTGCACTAGGTAGGACTAAAACATGTTCTAGTATTCCATCATCCACAAATTCTTCTTGCCTATTGATTGCCCCTTCACTTGTTCTAATATCGCCCCTCCCAGTTATCAATAAATTACTGCACTGGCCATGTTTTAAAGACTTTCAGTGTTTTGAATACAGAGTATCAAGAAATTTACTGAATAATGACTTAATTGTTGGTAACATTTGTTGTATGTTGCTTTAGCAATTAGACGGTTGCCAAAAGAACAATCTGATGACAAAAATGGACGAATAGAAAATGCCAAAAGTATATCAAGCATTGGCAAGACTTCGGCACAAGTTCATTGTCCAAAACAGCCAACAAGCCATCATACCAAGTATGCCACTAAGAAAGTGCCTAAAGAGGATGCAATATGCGGCTATGCCAGAAGAAGCGGAAAATTATGATCCTTACAAAAAGGCGAAAAACAAGCAATGATTAAAGATCAACATAAATATAATAGAGAAGAATACAAAAATGTTGATACCAAACAACAAAGGCAATCATTCAAACGTGTGAAAGCAGCAAGAACTATAACAATCATCCCTTTGTTAGCAACCTCACTGAAGTTGAAAAGGAACGTTAATTGAGGGAGAAGTACAAGAAAGTCAATATGAAGATGGCAAGGCCAAATATCAATATCCCAGACCAAGTGTTATAATGTCGACAAAGCAACATCGTCAACAAAATGCCAATGAATTGGATGAAGAAGGTTTTGATGAAGAAGGTTTTCATGAAGGTGCTTATCATTTATAAAAAATATCAATAATGCCTTAATGGCTTTTACTTACGGAGCAAATCCTGCCATTTTATCTTGCATAATCCATAATTCCTTCGCAATCTGGCTGCTTGTGTATGATCCTTAAAGGCAAACCATAATTTATCACAATTGCATGTTATATTTGTAATGTAGATTATAGTTTATCAATCGTCAATAGCTATTTTGTGTATAGCTAATAGGACAAGTTGAATAAATTCTAGTTGATAAACTTTGGACATTACTGATTGAAAGTTCCTATAAAATACCTGCTTATCTTTTGCCTCTTGCAGTTTTGCTTTCAGTTCTTCAACAGGATCTAACAATTTCATGTTTCCTGTGTGAGAATCCTTACTTTCATTCTTGAGACGATCAATCACACCATCTTCCTTCAACTTTAGAGCTCTTTCCTTGGCTCGTTTTTCTGCACGTTTTTGATTCTTTTTTGCAGCCTTGCTCCCAACTTAATTCAAAACAGACGGAGTGTTACTACTAATACAATAATAATAACAACCATTTGATATTTCTATGTAGTACACCAAACATTACCTAGACACCTGACGATCATAATTGTCAACCAAAATGTTCACAAACATTCAATTTTGAATAACAAGTAAAAATTGGTGACACAAAAACAAAAAGAAAATCACATTGAATTTTTAATCATGCTTAAGTTTAACATGTCATGAATGCCCTGATAATGATGATGAACTATTTGTGAAAATATGTTTATCATGTGTTGTTTGAACATAGAAGAACATATGAAGACAGACAAGTGATTGAAATACACACAAAGTAATGTACACAAAGGTAAAATCCTTTGGGGACAACAAAGTTTTCCAATCTGACCACCAACTCTGAACACTAGCTCGTGTTCACCAAAATTTTTACAATATAAAGATGCAGGCTAATTAGATGATTTAAATAAGTGTACACAATAGTACAAATCATGTACACTACAATACTTATTTGTGTGCACACATACAAATGCTACAAGTACTAGTGCAGTTTGTCAGACACTTTATCCAGGTAAAGACTTGAATTGCATGATTCTATATCCAACTAAAGCGAAAACCTTATCTCAAACGTGAATGCACATTTGTTCCTAAGGTGATCATTGAATTGTACTTGTTCCAGTGGAAGTTGAAACGTTTTTGTGAAAATTGTTTATGACCAAATATCGCAGTGTATTGAAAGTTGTTTTACGTATATCAATAAAATAAGGAAACTAAAAATTAATCTGTCAGCAGTAACAGGTGGTTGGTTGGCAATGACCATTGAATTATGATTGAACTGGCACTGAGGCTGATGGAAAAGTATGAAAATTGAAAACTCTACCTGAAGACATGATGCCTCTTTTGAAAAACTATTACAACAAGGAGCACTTCAAGAAATAAAGAAGTATTTATCGATTTCAAGATAGTTAACCAACAAATTTTGCCATATTTATGCCTATGTCCTCCGCTTTGTCCACTAAATTAAGATTACACCACATATATTTCCTCATCATCGGTAGTATCTCGTGGTTTCTTCGTGACCGTACGCCTTATGAACTATAATTATGTTTTATCTGGAGTATTATCAAAGGTCACGTGAACAAATCAAACAACAGCAATGTTTGCCACAGTTTCTAAAAACGATGTGAAAGCTTTTAAAGGAAAAGGATGCGGAAAACACTAAAAAGCGGCAGAAGCTGCCTTTGAAAATATTTACAACATATTTAAACGAAACGAACTTGAATAAACCGTCTGATAAAAACAAATTAGCGAAGGTTTGAAAAAATGTTTTATATTGGAAAACTTTAAATGTAATTGACAATATAGCAATTCATGATAATAGTAAGCTGTAAATTCACGTTACAACGACAGCTGTTGAGTACATGTAATCTTAGTTTACATTGTGCCTAGTGACGTTAAACATCGCGAGTTGTTTCGTCGACAAGATTTTTTAAAGTTTTGTCAACGAAAGATCATAAGTTAAGCATTCAATGCTATTCCTGTTTTTTCTGTCTGCCCATCAAGGTTAACTTCATTTCGTTTTGAGGTCTAAGATGGTAGAAGACGCCATTCATTTTTATCTCTTAGAATCCACAATTAACCCAAAAATTCCTCGATCTTCCAGATTTCTTTCGAGATCACTTCCTCTGTCTGTATCTTTGCAATCTAGATTAGAACAAACAAAAAGTTGCATAAAGTCTCCCTTCGCAAATGATCAGTGATCAGTGGTAAAAACATGGTTATAAGTAAATGAAAAAAACCTGAACATTTTCCATTATTTCTCCTTCTTCACGTTTCATTTTAAGTTTCTCAATTTGAACAAGTTTCTTCTTTAAACCACGAAGTCGTTTCTCTGCTTGTTTTCTTGACGTTTCCTTAGAATTTGTGAATGTAGAACAGGAATCTGTGTTACTTTCAAAAGCAGATCGTTCGAGTTTTTCTTCCGCTCTAAGTTAGAAAAAAGTTATTGTCAGGGGCTAAAATATCGTGCCTTTTGTAAACAAATTTAGAACTTTTCAATCAGTATTTCCGAATAGGGCACGAAAGTCTTGATCTACAACAACTACATGCTTCATCTACAGCTATAGAGTGTTTGCAAGTGACGTCAAAATCTTGATCTACAACAACTACATGCTTCATCTACAGTTATAGAGTGTTTGCAAGTGACGTCAAAGCGGCCATATTGAGGGAGTAAATTAAAGTGCCGATGGTCAACAGAGCCTGAAATCAACATAAACTCTTTTCACTATATGAAATTTTCCCCCAGCATGGCGACTGATGAAAGCACGCTATACTGACTTTATTCACATTAATAACGAAGTGTCGTTTTGTTTGACGCCTTTTAAAAGAATGTGTTTTCAATTCTCCAATTTTCATTTGCATTAAAGTTTTCAATCACCAACCATGCTTGTAGCATAACGTAATTTGAGGTTACATACGTTCCTTTACACAGGTCAGTATAGTTTTAAATTCCAAAGCACGAAACCTTTTGTTTTCATTGAGAGTCTTTCACTGATCATCAGAAATTTTAATAAAATCAATTGTGTTTTTTTAATGTACACCGTGAATGTTTAACGACATCAAAACTCAATGTTCTAAAGCTATTCCGACATCACTATTTACTTAATAAAAACTTAAGGTGGTCATCACCTCTTGAAACAATTTTTTTTATTTTTAAGTAAATTTAGGCAAAAATATCATTTTCTGAAAGGCATGGGTGATAGAAAATGACAAAAAGAAAATTTTTTTCACAAACTCGTTAATTAGCCTAATTATCCAAGATGGCGGCTGCTAATTAAGACTTAATTGTTTCACATTGAAAACATGATAACTCAAGAACCAGTGGTTAAAACAAAATAAAACATATATTTTTGAAAAGCTTAGAACCTGCTCTATTATGTGACAGTCTTTAATTTTCATTTAATATCTTAAATAAAATTTTAGAGTGAAATTTAGAACATTTTCAATTATTGCACATTTTTATTGCAAACATTTGAAAGAAATTTGGCTTTAATTCATTAAATATAAACAGCATTAAAAATTCAAGAGTGTCACATAATAGAGGATAATATAGTTAGTATATATGCCAAATATCAAGCCTCTGCATCAAATATTTACAAATTTATAGTGTCACAAAAATCACTGACTATTGCAAAAATGCAAAAATGAGGAAATCCAATGTAAAGTTTCATTCCAGTTCATCTACAACTTTGAAGGCTTAGAAGCTACCTGCTTCATAAGTTACCCCTTCCAAGTACTCAGCATTGTTCAGAAACTTCTTTCTGAGATGCCTCAGTGACTTCCTCCTACTTTTCACTTGCTTGGAATTCTTTTGGACTGATAACTTTATCCTGGCTTTGTTGGAGTCTTGCGGACCTTTGGTCGTAAATACCCCAAGCATTATGTCTAAATCATGAAAAATGTTAATATAGGAGATGTCTCCATCATTAAACTTCAACACTGCCAAATATGTTGCTAAAGAGACAGTTTCTTGCTCAACATATGTAGTCTTGGGAGATCTGTCCCAAATGAGTCCATTCAAACACTCGTTCGGATTCTGTGTCAATCCATGTGTACATTTCTTCAACAAATCTGGGTCAGTTAGATCATTGAATATTGGCTCAATCAGTTCTACTATGGGCCCAGGAATACCAGTCTTGTGTTGGTAGGTGGTGTGATCTCTTAGGTAGCCACACCAACTATCTTTTCCTTTTGGACACAGGTGATGCTGAGGATTCTTCTCTAAGGAGGCAACATGGAAAAGAGATGCCCTAGCAGCTTTGGCCATTTCTTCAACACTATTAAGGTTTCCCCTTATTGCCAAACCATAATAGTTTCGAAGAATGTCCATCTTTTGCGTAGTTAGCCGACCTTTTCCAGACAAACCTTTACCATCCGAGAGTTTTCTCCCTTTGTTCGAGGTTTTTAGTTTCCGCAGTCTGCTTCCGAATGTAAGTTCATTGCTTTCCCACAGTCCGGACATTTCAGAATCTCATTTAAGACTATAAATATAACTGATAAGTCCATAAATATAGTACCTTCTGTTATAATGTTGGAATGGACAGCAAAATTTGCTGTCTGATTACCAATTTTCGCACCGGAAGATCCAACCTCTGTCACAAGGTTCGCCATTTTTGCATTTCTTTGCCATTTTTTCTCACCCGTTTTCTACCTCTATTTTGAGGATTTCCCATCATTTAACTTCAAATCCCCCAACAAAATAACAAAAACAATAGTTGGGAAATAAAAGCAGCAAATTTAGCACTTGAAATGTTACAAAAAACTAAGAAATTTGTAGACAACTTCGCCAGAAATGCAAACGCATCGATCTCGAGACAGACAAAAGACTTTCATTGCCATGGCTCCCCAAAGGAACAATTAGAATACAGTTATGTCAAAAGACTCTGAATTCCATGCACCAAAAGGAGAAACAAAAATGACAATTTTTTGACCAATATTTCGACCAAATTTTGAGGAAATCTCAACCTAAATGCGTTGCTAGGCCGTTGCTATGGAGTAAATTTTTAAACAACATAGCTTTGAAATTAAATAGTTAAGGCTCCCAAAAAATTAATAATTTTTTTTTTGAAAATTTGGTCAAAATACAGTTTATAAGAGGTGATAAAGACATGTTGAACTTGGTCAACAATCACCAACCATGCTAGTAGCATAACGTAATTTGAGGTTACATACGTTCCTTTACACAGGTCAGTATAGTTTTAAATTCCAAAGCAGTCCACACACATTAAATTAATAAAATAGATTAAGTGCGAACAACTTGCTGGCAACAAATTTTCAAGATTTACATAAAAAAGTAAATCATGACAGGAAAAAACAAGGATTCCGAACAAGGAATGGTAGACGACAATACTCTAACACATAAAGAAGAAACAGAGAAAGCCACCTATTCAGAACCTGTCGCGAGAAAGCGAGGAAAAAAATGTTTGTCTCTTGTATTATGTATAATTGCAGGTATAGGAATGCTTGTGTACAGCTTTTATTACAAAGAGAGCACAGCGTATACAGAATTAAAGGATATCACTGAAAATACTTTAAAAGCAATTAAAAATGGCACACTTGTCGTCTATGTTGAGGAAAAAGAAGATACGTATCCAGTGCTGTTCGACGTTGGTGTCGGATTGCTATCCTACATTTTGGCAACGTTGGTCAATCGTGTTATTCAGGTAGTGGAAGAGTTTCCCCATTTTCGAAGTTGTTACAAAAAGAACATTCGTAAAATTTATAGTTCTTGTTCATGTGGAATCTCGTTGGGTGGAGTTATACTGCTTTTGGTGCTAGGTTGTGCGTTCGTGGCTGTTGGTCGAATTTTGAGCGGAAAGGAACCAGTGCACATCGAAGATTTAATAACTTTCACTTGTGCAATTGGCGTCTATCCACTTGTCGCTCATCTTCTAGGTTTAAATGCTCTGTCAGAAGCAGAATTCTCGAAAATAGTTGAAGAGGAACAACTTTATCCTGCCTATACACTGGCGTGGAACTACTATTTTGAAGTTTTGCAAAATCTCTTACCCATAGTCAATGAAAAATTTACAGAAGATTTGCAGAAGAAGCCACGTCGAGATAACGAAGATGCAGAAACTGACAAAAGACCAACAGAATGTAAAGAATACATAAACTCAAAAAAACTGATCCTGATTGTTCCACACAATTGCAGAACTCATCAAAACTTAGAAGAAATCGATTCAAACTTTCAAAAACTACGTGATGTTAAAGGCAAGTCAAATTTGAAAAAAGGACGTGATGTTGATGATGTTGAAGACAAGGGGTACAGTGTTCCTCTTTATAATGTGATACACGGTAACAAACAATACAAACTTCTCCTGTTGTATGTCTCACAACCATTAAAGACACTTTATAAGATGAGCGGTGCTGAACGAGTTAAATGTTTGACTGAAAATAATCTTGAAGAGCAAGTGGAACTTTTTTGTAATACTTTACAAGAGGAAATCCTCAGTAAACCATTGAACGAAGACTTAAAGGAAAAATGCATTGTTTTGCCAATAAAGGCTGACTATGAAAGAAGTTTGGGAAATGGAGGGCTTGTTGAATCGATCGTAAAGTGCTTAAAACATGACGAAGATCCTAGTGGTAGAAAACATCCTCAACCCTTTTTTGTCCCACCACCACCTCCACAAAAATTTTCTTCGCCAGCAAAACCTAAAGCAAAAAAGACATCCCCACTAAAACAAGGTATACTATGCTATGTTCAGTTATGTACTTACATAACTGCTTTTGAGGTGTTGTAAGTTATGCAAACCTAACTCAACCTAGATAAGTAAATGGCGACAGGCTTATCAAGATTATTATTCCATTTATATCATTTTACGCGCAAGTTGCAAAGTTCTTAATTCTATTAAGTGTCAGATTTCCATGTTTTCATTAATTTAACCAAAGTCTTTACTATTTTGTATTGTGCCAGAATTGAAACATCAAATGCTCACTTGTCACTAGCTCATTGTCTATGCATGCAAGATGTCTAAAAATATTCAATCCTTGGTAAGGTCTTTGCTTTTGATTCTCACTGCTCTAGTCACAGGCAGGCACCATGACTGTAAACACACATACAAGATAACAATAGTTATTAATTTCTTACCCATTTTTAAAGTTTGTGAGAATGAAGAAATTCATAAAATGCTGAGTTTGCTTGATTTTTGTTAATATTTTTCAGATGAATATTACCAAGAGACATCAACAAATAATGAAAAAGAACTCCTTGTTCGATCAAAGAGTGAAAAGAATTCAAAACATACGTTACAAAGAAAATACAAGAAACGCAAGAAGTTAGAACAACAGAAAAATGTTGCAACTAAAGAAGATACAATCACTCCAAAAAATGAAGTGGGCAACAACAGTGAAAATCATTCCTTAAATGAAGAACATGCTGATGAAAAACATAAACAAACAGAAAATGTAGAAAGTCGATCAAGCACTGGCAAGTCTTTGACTTTTTCAACTGAAGCACAAGTTCATTGTCCAAAACAACCACAAGCCATTGAGTTCAATAATGTTGCCTACGAAGAAGATGAAGGACGAGTGCTGATTCAAGCTCAATACAAAACAACTCATGAAGATGAAAAAGAACAACACAATAATATTGACAACAGACAAAAGGCAAACATTAAAAACAATGAAAGCAATGAGAATGAGAACTCTAAAAAGTACCCCTTGTATAGAAGGCTCTCTGAAGTTGAAAAATGATCGTCGAGTGAGGAAGAAATTACAGAAGTTTAAGATCCATTTATAGTCTAACAATATCAAAGCAACATTGGTGACAAAATGCTGATAAAGTTCATGAAGAAGGTTTTGAAGAAGTTTTGAAGAAGGTTTTCATGGAGAAGATATTCATCATTTATAAAAAAATATCAATAATGTCTTTTACTAACAGAGCAAACCCTGCCATTTTATCTTGCATTATCCACAATTCCTTTCTTGGTCTGGTTGCTAGTAAATGATCCTCAATGGTAAAGCACAATGTATCACAATAGCATTTCATATTTACAATATTGATTTCCTTTTATCCATTGTCAATAGTTATTTTGTGTAAAGCAAATAGGACAAATTGCAAATAAATTCTAGTTGATAAATTTTGGAGTGAAATGGATGATGATACTGGTTCAAAGGTTCTGATAAAATATCTGTATATCTTTTGCCTCTTGCAGTTTTGCTTTCAGTTGTTAGACAGGATCTAAAAATTTCATGTTTCCTGTATGAGAATCCTTACTTTCATTCTTGAGTTGATCAATCACACTGTCTTCCTTCAACTTTAGAGCTCTTTCCTTGGCTTGCTTTCTGCATGTTTTTGATTCTTTTTTGCAGCCTTGCTCTCAACTTAATTCAAAACAGACGGAGTATTACTACTTATACATAATAATAACAGCCATTTCATATTTCTATGTAGTACACCAAACATTACCTAGACACCTGAAGATCATAATTGTCAACCAAAATGTTCACAACCATTCAATTTTGAAAAGCAAGTAAAAATTGGTGACACAAAAACAAAAACAAAATCACATTGACTTTTTAATCATGCTCAAGTTCAACATGTCATGAATGCTCTGTTAATGACAATGAACTATTTGGGAAAATATGTTTATCATGTGTTGTTTGAACATAGAAAAACATATGAATACAGACAAGTGTTTGAAATGCACAAAGGAAAAATCCTTTGAGGACAACAAACTTTTCCTATCCCATCACCAACTTTGAACACTAGCTCATGTTCACCAAAATTTTTAAGCAATAAAGATGCAGGCTAATTAGATGATTTATATAAGTGTACACAATAGTACAAAAAAATGTACACTACAGTACTTATTTATTTGTGTGCACATATACAAATGCTACAAGTACAAGTGCAGTTTGTCAGACACTTTATACAGGTAAAGACTTAAATTTCATGATTCTATAACCAACTGAAGCAAAAACCTTATCACAAACGTGAATGCACATTTGTTCCTAAGGTGATCATTGAATTGTACTTGTGCCAGTGGAAGTTGAAATGTTTTTGTAAAAATTGTTTATGACCAAAC